CAAAGAACCAAGTAGGAAATATATTTTCAATTTTGGACTAGGGGCGACCCTAGTCAAAATCAATTTTGTCACTTTTTGTCGAGGGTTTATCCAAATGGATTGAAACTTTGCATAAATATTCTAATGCTATAAACAAATACAAATAAAATATCATAAAATTTTTTTGAGCAAAGAACCAAGTAGGAAATACATTTTCAATTTTGGACTAGGGGCGACCCTAGTCAAAATCAATTTTGTCACTTTTTTCTTCGAGGGTATATCCAAATGGATTGAAACTTTGCATAAATATTTTAGTGCTTAGCACAAATACAAATAAAACATCATAAAATTTTTTTGAGAAAAGAACCAAGTAGGAAATACATTTTTAATTTTGGACTAGGGGCGACCCTAGTCAAAATCAATTTTGTCACTTTTTTCTTCGAGGGTTTATCCAAATGAATTGAAACTTTGCACAAATATTCTAGTGCTTAAAACAAATACAAATAAAATATCATAAAATTTTTTTGAGCAAAGATTCAAGTAAGAAATACATTTTCAATTTTGGACTAGGGGCGACCCTAGTCAAAATCAATTTTGTCACTTTTTTCTTCGAGGGTTTATCCAAATGAATTGAAACTTTGCACAAATATTCTAGTGCTTAAAGCAAATACAAATAAAATATCCTAAAATTTTTTTGAGCAAAGAACCAAGTAGGAAATACATTTTCAATTTTGGACTAGGGGCGACACTAGTCAAATCAATTTTGTCACTTTTTTTCGAGGGTTTATCCAAATGAATTGAAACTTTGCACAAATATTCTAGTGCTTAAAACAAATACAAATAAAACATCTTAAATTTTTTTTGAGCAAAGAACCAAGTAGGAAATATATTTTCAATTTTGGACTAGGGGCGACCCTAGTCAAAATCAATTTTGTCACTTTTTGTCGAGGGTTTATCCAAATGGATTGAAACTTTGCATAAATATTCTAATGCTATAAACAAATACAAATAAAATATCATAAAATTTTTTTGAGCAAAGAACCAAGTAGGAAATACATTTTCAATTTTGGACTAGGGGCGACCCTAGTCAAAATCAATTTGTCACTTTTTTCTTCGAGGGTTTATCCAAATGGATTGAAACTTTGCATAAATATTCTAGTGCTTAAAACAAATACAAATAAAACATCCTAAAATTTTTTTGAGCAAAGAACCAAGTAGGAAATACATTTTCAATTTTGGACTAGGGGCGACCCTAGTCAAAATCAATTTTGTCACTTTTTTCTTCGAGGGTTTATACAAATGGATTGAAACTTTGCATAAATATTTCAGTGCTTAAAACAAATACAAATAAAACATCCTAAAATTTTTTTGAGCAAAGAACCTTGTAAGAAATACATTTTCAATTTTGGACTAGGGGCGACCCTAGTCAAAATCAATTTTGTCACTTTTTGTCGAGGGTTTATCCAAATGGATTGAAACTTTGCATAAATATTCTAATGCTATAAACAAATACAAATAAAATATCATAAAATTTTTTTGAGCAAAGAACCAAGTAGGAAATACATTTTCAATTTTGGACTAGGGGCGACCCTAGTCAAAATCAATTTGTCACTTTTTTCTTCGAGGGTTTATCCAAATGGATTGAAACTTTGCATAAATATTCAGGTGCTTAAAACAAATACAAATAAAACATCTTAAAATTTTTTTGAGCAAAGAACCAAGTAGGAAATATATTTTCAATTTTGGACTAGGGGCGACCCTAGTCAAAATCAATTTTGTCACTTTTTGTCGAGGGTTTATCCAAATGGATTGAAACTTTGCATAAATATTCTAATGCTATAAACAAATACAAATAAAATATCATAAAATTTTTTTGAGCAAAGAACCAAGTAGGAAATATATTTTCAATTTTGGACTAGGGGCGACCCTAGTCAAAATCAATTTTGTCACTTTTTTCTTCGAGGGTTTATACAAATGGATTGAAACTTTGCATAAATATTTCAGTGCTTAAAACAAATACAAATAAAACATCCTAAAATTTTTTTGAGCAAAGATTCAAGTAAGAAATACATTTTCAATTTTGGACTAGGGGCGACCCTAGTCAAAATCAATTTTGTCACTTTTTTCTTCGAGGGTTTATCCAAATGGATTGAAACTTTGCATAAATATTTTAGTGCTTAGCACAAATACAAATAAAACATCATAAAATTTTTTTTGAGAAAAGAACCAAGTAGGAAATACATTTTCAATTTTGGACTAGGGGCGACCCTAGTCAAAATCAATTTTGTCACTTTTTTTCGAGGGTTTATCCAAATGAATTGAAACTTTGCACAAATATTCTAGTGCTTAAAACAAATACAAATAAAACATCTTAAAATTTTTTTGAGCAAAGAACCAAGTAGGAAATATATTTTCAATTTTGGACTAGGGGCGACCCTAGTCAAAATCAATTTTGTCACTTTTTTCTTCGAGGGTTTATACAAATGGATTGAAACTTTGCATAAATATTTTAGTGCTTAGCACAAATACAAATAAAACATCATAAAATTTTTTTGAGAAAAGAACCAAGTAGGAAATACATTTTCAATTTTGGACTAGGGGCGACACTAGTCAAATCAATTTTGTCACTTTTTTTCGAGGGTTTATCCAAATGAATTGAAACTTTGCACAAATATTCTAGTGCTTAAAACAAATACAAATAAAACATCTTAAAATTTTTTTGAGCAAAGAACCAAGTAGGAAATATATTTTCAATTTTGGACTAGGGGCGACCCTAGTCAAAATCAATTTTGTCACTTTTTGTCGAGGGTTTATCCAAATGGATTGAAACTTTGCATAAATATTCTAATGCTATAAACAAATACAAATAAAATATCATAAAATTTTTTTGAGCAAAGAACCAAGTAGGAAATACATTTTCAATTTTGGACTAGGGGCGACCCTAGTCAAAATCAATTTTGTCACTTTTTTCTTCGAGGGTATATCCAAATGGATTGAAACTTTGCATAAATATTTCAGTGCTTAGCACAAATACAAATAAAACATCATAAAATTTTTTTGAGAAAAGAACCAAGTAGGAAATACATTTTTAATTTTGGACTAGGGGCGACCCTAGTCAAAATCAATTTTGTCACTTTTTTCTTCGAGGGTTTATCCAAATGAATTGAAACTTTGCACAAATATTCTAGTGCTTAAAACAAATACAAATAAAATATCATAAAGTTTTTTTGAGCAAAGATTCAAGTAAGAAATACATTTTCAATTTTGGACTAGGGGCGACCCTAGTCAAAATCAATTTTGTCACTTTTTTCTTCGAGGGTTTATCCAAATGAATTGAAACTTTGCACAAATATTCTAGTGCTTAAAGCAAATACAAATAAAATATCCTAAAATTTTTTTGAGCAAAGAACCAAGTAGGAAATATATTTTCAATTTTGGACTAGGGGCGACCCTAGTCAAAATCAATTTTGTCACTTTTTGTCGAGGGTTTATCCAAATGGATTGAAACTTTGCATAAATATTCTAATGCTATAAACAAATACAAATAAAATATCATAAAATTTTTTTGAGCAAAGAACCAAGTAGGAAATACATTTTCAATTTTGGACTAGGGGCGACCCTAGTCAAAATCAATTTTGTCACTTTTTTCTTCGAGGGTTTATCCAAATGGATTGAAACTTTGCATAAATATTCTAGTGCTTAAAACAAATACAAATAAAACATCCTAAAATTTTTTTGAGAAAAGAACCAAGTAGGAAATACATTTTTAATTTTGGACTAGGGGCGACCCTAGTCAAAATCAATTTTGTCACTTTTTTCTTCGAGGGTTTACACAAATGGATTGAAACTTTGCATAAATATTTCAGTGCTTAAAACAAATACAAATAAAACATCCTAAAATTTTTTTGAGCAAAGAACCAAGTAGGAAATACATTTTCAATTTGGACTAGGGGCGACCCTTGTCAAAATCAATTTTGTCACTTTTTTTTCGAGGGTATATCCAAATGGATTAAAACTTTAGTGCTTAAAACAATTACAAATAAAACATCCTAAAATTTTTTTGAGCAAAGAACCAAGTAGGAAATACATTTTCAATTTGGACTAGGGGCGACCCTAGTCAAAATCAATTTTGTCACTTTTTGTCGAGGGTTTATCCAAATGGATTGAAACTTTGCATAGATATTCAAGTGCTTAAAAAAAAATACAAATAAAACATCATAAAATTTTTTTGAGCAAAGAACCAAGTAGGAAATACATTTTCAATTATGAACTTGGGACAGGTCTAGTCAAAATCTAGTTTTTCACTTTTTTTTACGTACATTTACGAGAAAATGTGGTTCAAATAAGTGTTAAGTATGGCCGAGATTTGGACCAAAATCAGCTATACTGGTTCATAGTGTTCCCGAGGGTGACAAACTTCAAACTAAGTGTTTTTGTAGCTGACATAATTATGACATAAATTAGGTATAACTTTTGAACTGTGGCGATATGGGTCTCGGCCTTACTTCATACCCACCCTTCAAACTTGTGCTGAGCAAATCTTGGTCTATCCATAAGACTTTTGATGGTACGGTGTGAATATATCCGCATTGGGTTTCTACCCGATACACTAGTCTTTAATATTTTTGTGACTTGTGAGCTCTTGAATTGCTAGGAATTGCAAATTCAATATTTTGTCTAGTAGGAACTAGATCCTAGTTAATTAAAAATTCATTGTCTACTTGTTTTCTGTGATAATTTCAACGATTTTAAAAGGTAGGCTCTTTGTGCCGCAAATCTCTTTTTACGAAAAATTTAATATAAAGACTCTGAATTTTGTAGTATTCTCTAACAGACAAATGAGTATACTCATCGTACCATAACATATTCAAGAGTTTATTCTAAACATTACTTTACTTCTTACTTCCTTGGCTGGTCGCACGTGGGCCCATTACCACGTTCAGAGATCGTCTAAAGACAGCTCTATCCTTCGAAACCTTCTGCCAGTTCGGGATATTAAGGACTCTTGCGTCCTTATCAACACATCCAATTCAGGTATTCTTTGGTCTTCCTCTAGATGTCTTGCAATCTATAAAGACTGCAACAGTCACATTAAGCACTGGGGGATCTTGTGGACGTCTGAACACATGTCCAGCCCACCTCAAGGTCCTCATTCCTGCATGGGTATAAAAATAAATTAGATGGAATATTTAAGATCTTATTAAAAATTGTAGACTCACTGCTCGGGTTTGACAATAAACGTTTGTAGAAATTCATTTTCACTCAAAGCCTTAACCAATTTTTACGTCAATACCCATTACAACAACTTTGAAAAAAACTCTTCTTTTATGCCATTCCTATCGAAACCTTTTTGCATGTTTAAGTGAGTAAGATTCTTTTCGCTGTTAAATGCTTTCCTGTAAGCAAGAATAGCATGAGAAATGATAAGACCAATCTCTATCAGTTTTATTCTCATTAATTGCATGTATAGTGCAGCAAGGGTATTTTTACTGTATGTTATTCCAAATTCTTTTTCTCGAAGCATCGTGAAACCTGTTTCTGATTGTTTTCTTATTATTTCATGTTATTTTGTCTTTTTTTATTTTTTCTTATGTAGCCTGAAAATTTAAATGCATTTTATTTAATTTTTTTTCTTTTGCGGTCATCTGTGCCTTGATATTATAATGTCTTTGACAATACTTTTTACTTGCTCTAAAAAAAGAACATTTAATCGAATTCTTCTACACTTTTCGTTTTCTACTCAGTTTTGCTACATCATCAGTGCAGCAAACTTGTCTGCAGAAAATAGCAATATCTGTATTTTTCAATCAAATCTTAAAAGTATAATCAAAAGAATCACGTTTAAGAAGCAGAGATTGAAAAGAAATATGTACAGTATAAGACACAAAACATAACGTGAGAAGAAGAATACCTTAATGCACACAAGAAGGCATTCATGTGGTTGTGTCTGCGAGCAAAAATTACACTAAAAAGTGTTATGATTCATGAAATAATTTATTTTCAGCACGAACCGTTTAATTTATAAAAAAAAGTATAAAACATTACCAACACTTTTACTTGCAGAGTCCAACTCTCCCTTTAATGCCTTGCTACTTGTTTTTTTTTTCACTATGACAGCCGGCAATAAAAAAATCGACAAAACAACTTTCTAGAGAATATTATTTATGCTTATAAGACTTGTTGCCTATTGTCGTCATAGAAAGCTATAAGTTTTTATTTGTTTTCCTTTTTCAATAAAAATTCTTTTACATAAAAAAAGCTTGTGCATCGCAATTTTTTCTGAAATTAAGCTTAACTTTACGATTTTGTAAAATTTTCAAGTAAATATTTTATCACAATGCCACCGAAGGGAAAGAAGTCTAGAAATAATTCAAAAGATAAAGACAAAGAAAAGGAAAAGACAAAGGACTCAAAAGAAAAAGGCAATGTTGATAATAATTTAATGCCACCACTGTTGCAAGCTAGAAGAAAAAGTTCAGTATGTAGTTCATCAATTCGAAGAAAGAGCATTACTGGAAGTTCCACTCGTACAAGTGAAAAGCATCGTGGAGGGTTCAATAGTGAATCTTCAGACTCTACTGATGTAGTTTCATCATCTGATGAGGAAGATCGTTGGAAAGAAAGAAACATAAAGCAGTCAGATCTTCCATCTGAATATTGGCACATACAGAAACTTGTGAAATATATGAAAGCTGGAAATCAAACGGCAACGGTAGTTGCATTATGCTGTTTAAAAGATCATGACCTAACGACTCAAATAAATCAAATTGCTATTCAGGATGTCGGTGGTTTAGAAGTCTTGGTTAATTTGTTGGAAAGCAATGACTTAAAATGTCGTTATGGCGCACTGTCTGTACTGTCAGCAATTTCATTAAATTTGGATATTCGTCGAAGTATTGTAGACCTTGGTGGCATTCCTTTACTTGTAAATATTCTCTCTGAACCATCAAAGGATTTAAAAGTACTTGCGGCAGAAACAATTGCAAATGTTGGAAAAGTAAGATTAGCACGAAAACTTGTACGACGATTTGGGGGAATTAGTGGCAGTAAGTAGCGTAAAATAGAAAAGTTTTCATCGTTCAACCTTAAATTTTTCTCATTAACAATTTATGATTTCATTTCATGCAAAAGTTGTTGATTTACTGGATGTGCCTGTGAGTTGCCTTACAACTCCTCAAGAAAATCTCACCCAAAGCCAAAAAGAACAACTTGCTATGGCAACAGCTGGTGCGAGGGCTTTATGGTCGTTATCAGAGTCGAGACACAATAAAGAGATTATGAGACGAAGTGGTGTGATACCGCTTATGGCTCGTCTACTTCAAAGTATACATATTGAAACTGTTGTTCCGATTATGGGATGTGTACAACAATGTGCTTCGCAGGTATTTCCTTTTACATCATTATTTTCTTCTTCTTTTTATTTCACTTTATATCTGCTAAGATGCTAATAGCTTTTTAATTTCAAAGCGAGATTATCAATTAGCAATCGCCACAGAAGGAATGATCCATAATATCGTAGTTCATTTGTCATCAGATAATTTTGATCTAAAGATGCAATGTAGCTCTGCAATCTTCAAAACTGCAAGTGATAAAATAGCTCGAGATATTGTACGAGAAGCTGGTGGATTGGAATCACTTGTAGCCATTGTTAAAGACAAATCTATACGTGAAAATAAAGCATTACTTGCAGCTGCTACTGGAGCAATATGGAAATGTGCAACTGCATCACCAGCAAATGTAAAACGTTTAGATCAACTGAAAATCATGCACATTCTCGTACAATTGTTGAGTGATGAGAATGACGATGTATTAACTAATGCAGCTGGTGCTATATCGGAATGTGTGAAATTCCAAAATAATCGTGACTTGTTACGTTCAATTGGAGGGTTGGCGCTTCTTGTAAATCTTCTTAATGGTACACATCCACCTATGCTTGAAAACATTTCAAAAGCATTAACGGAATGTGCTAGTGACACGGAGAGTATGGCAGCCATGGAAGAGCTTGATGCAATTAGACTTATTTGGTCTTTATTGAAGAATCCACATTCACGTGTGCAAGCTTTTGCAGCTCTCGCTTTATGTCCATGCATAAAGAATGCAAAAAATTCTGGAGAACTTGTAAGAAGTTTTGTTGGTGCTTTAGAACTTGTTGTTGGTCTTTTGAAGTCCCGTGACAATTTAGTTCTTGCTTCTGTTTGTGCTGCAATATCAATAATAGCAAAAGATAAAGAAAATCTTGCAGTTTTAACAGATCATAAAGTTATTCAGATGCTAGCAAGCTTAGTATATACGACAGATGATATGCTAAGGGAACATTTAGCTGCAGCAATAGCATCTTGTGCCCCTTATGGGAATAATACTCAGGAGTTGGGTCGATTAAAAACTGTTACACCGATTGTTGGCTATATGGTTAGTGATAATCCAAAAGTTCATCGAACAACGGCAATGGCTTTACAAAAACTTTCAGCAGATCCACAGAACTGTATTACAATGCATGCAGTAAGTCATAAATTAATTTTTGATTCTCATAAAATTAATTTGAATAATTTTTTCCAGAGCGGAGTCGTTCCATTCCTTCTAGAAACTGTTGGATCTGAAGATAAAGAATTACAAGAAGCTTCAGCTGGATGTTTAAAGAACATTCGGGAACTTGCATTGAGAGCCGAAGAATATGCTACATTCCAGCCATAAACGGTTATATTGAATTCAAAATTTTTATTCAGATATACAGCATTCAGCACATTTATTGTTCAAATTTAATAAATACGTTACAGCTTGTTTAATATACTGAGATTTAAAATATAAATAGTTGAACAACGAATTGATTTATCTACATCGAACATTATGCAAAAAAATGTTTAATGTTTGGCCTTTATAAACATTTAAAAATTTAAGCAACTTCCTGGAAGATTTATTTGCCAAAATGGCTTCAAATGTTACCAATATACCCCAAATATATTATCTGTGACCACTCGAAATTTGTTGTGAATAAAGTAGAGTTTAAAACACAAAAATTTAATAGCTTACATGACCACGCATAGACATTGAATTTCTTCTGTTAACCATTCGATACATTGAAAAAGATTTGGTGGATGACGACATCAATGGAGATGTAATTTTCCATTTTCTAGTCTTAGACATCATTAAATTTCCATCAGTTTTTGCTCTTGATCGGAATGGTTCATTATTATTCATAGACGAAGGTTCAAGTTCATCAAATTCATCTACTTCTTCTTCATCTCCATTCCATTGTGACCTAGTTCTATCAAAAAGTAATACTGATCTTCTTCTATCATCTTGTAGATCACAGTAAATTGATAAAATTTTATCCGGACTTAAAACCATTTCAACATCGGAATGTATAGTCATTGATAATCTTATGTTGTCGCTTTTTGATCTCTTCAGTTTTGGAAATTTTGAAAAGAATCGCCAAAATCGGCACACATCCCTAAAAACTCCTTGAGCATCATCAATACTTTCTCTTGTAGTAATTTCATGAAAACAAACACATCCAATATCTTCACATCGTCTTTTGCCTTCATCCTTTGTTACCATTCGGTCATAAATTTGATCAATTTTGTTTGCAACTAGTAATACTGGCGCATCTATGAATCCATCCTGATAACAATAATAGAAAAATTAATGAAAATCAGAACTAATCACACATGATTAGGGATCGTTCACTTTTGAGGTCCGAAATTAACGGTCATTTTTCAAAAAAGAAAAATGGATTTTTAGGAGTTTCTATTGTTCTTTTCTTGCTGACCCCCCCCCCCCCCCCCCCCCCCCTGGACGTCATAAGTGAACGGCCTTTTAATTAAATTTGATCGAAAAACTTTCTATCTTTAGATAAATTTATCTTATTTGGCTCATTACTGTCGCGTCAGTTAAAAGGATTCTGTGATACTTATATTTCATCCTCATACCAATTACCTTATGTATCTTTCGTCTCCGCTTAATGTAATTTATGAGAAATTTTAGTCTATTAACTTCTTCGAAGCTACATTTGTCGGTTACGCTGTAGACTAAGATAAATGCATCGCCCCATCTTATATTAGTCTCAAACTGATTAATTAAGCTTTCACTTTCCTTTGGATAAGATATTTTTTTTTAAAAAAACTCAAACATTTTCACATACATATTGTAAGGAAGCCAACCTGGTTATTTATGCCACAAGAATCCAGTATTTCAAAATTAACAGTTTCATTGTCAATGACGGTGTTGAAATTGTATATTCTTTCTTGGGAGTCATATTCGCCTATAAATCTTTTCGTTATGAATCGCACTACCATCGCTAGAAACATAAAAATGTGCTTTTTAACAGGGCTGTGTGCTTATGCCTTAATTAGTTTTTATTATATTCACACCGTTTTCACGTGTGAATTAATTGGTTTTGTTCAGATTGAAAAATCAGTTTTTCGCATTTTGTGAGAAAACGAAGCAAAATTAATTATAAAAAGTCCGAGAAGAAAAGTTTGTGCCTGAAATTTTACATCATTTCCAAAAAATTGATTGCAAATTTGTTGCGGCATTGCTGAGAAAATCGCAAAATACGCTTTCTGTAAGCAAGCAAGCAAGTAAGCAAGTTATCAGCAAGAAATCTCAATAACGAGGCATCGTAGAGACTTCTAGTTTTTTACATTTGATCCGTGCTGCTCTATAGAAGAGCTGTATTGTTTTTGGGCAAGTTAGGAACAGCCGTTGCTTCAGAAAAAGCAAAAAACTTTCCTATCTTACGAATTTTTCAATTTTGAAAGTTGACTGTGATTTTTATAAAATTCAACTTTGTATGAAAATTTTTTTTAAAAAACTTTTAAAGAATGTTCGTTAAGCTCTAAACCTTCAAACATGTGCTGAGCGAAGCTCAGCTGACTCGCTAGCTTTATACCTTCAAACTTATGCTAGGCAAATCTTGGTCTATCCATTAGACTTTTGATGGTACGGTGTGAATATAATCCGCATTGGGTTTCTACCCGATACACTAGTTTTAAATTATTTTTTGCTATTGGTGGAGTTTTTGTTTGAAATCTTTTTATCCAAGCTATTATCAACGATTTATGAAGTCAAGTAGTTATACAGTGGTTCTAAAATTGTTACAGACTCCTTAAACTTTCTAAGCTTTTAGATTTAAAAAGAAAATCCTTGTCCAGAGTTTAACAAATCAATTTTCTCTTGAAGGAATAAGCTTGACTATGCCCGAAATATACATATAATTAGATATATTAAAAGATTATGCAAAAAAGTATTCATGCTGAGAACCAATGAACTGAAACCAAAATAATTTTATTACATTTCGAACCTTCACAGCAAATGAGGAAATTGAAGCAAAAAGCAAAGTAAATTGACATGTGTTGTGCTTTACATTAATGATAAATTTTCTATTTTCTAATATAAACAAGAAAAAAATTTAAACCTCGGGAAATTGAATCATAAAATTAATTTTCATGGACATTTCATTAACAAAGTAAGTACGAGCACTGCAACATTTTTTAAATAATACTTTGAATTATTTAATGAAGATTTTTATTTGTTATTCTTTACATGCAATGACGCATCTTCATACTTTGTAAATTTTTCGCAACATTTCGACAGATTGCAAACATTTATATCTGCTTATTTTCATTTCCAATAACTCATAAAATCACCGAAAATAACTCAAGCACATTTCAGTATGAACATATTTATCTTCAACTTGCCACTCTTTCCAACAAACGACTGCCCTAGAACAACGACTTTTAATTTTGTTGGTGTCTTTGGCTTTAGATTATTTATTTTTAAATTTATTCCAGCCATGATTTATCTTCACTTTTAATCTTAAACCACAATCAAAAATAAATCTTATCCATCACTAATGCTCTGAAAATTCCGCGACTTTCATGCAACGGTTAATAAATGAAAATGTGTTGACAACGTTTACGGCATGCATGCTTTATAAAGTTTTTCGATGTAACAGAAAAGAGCTGAAAGGACGTAGAGAGAAAAGAGAGCTACGAGAGAAGTAGTCGAGTAGAATATGTGAAATTTGTAAGTACGTATTTTATTGTAACATTTTAATGAATTAAACATTCTCACATTTATTGTGCGCTAGTATTGTAAACAAATTAAATAGAAGTGACATGTGATGTTATGAGAGTTTAATGCTGATAATTATTATTGACACCGCATCAATATATGGAAATTTTGTATGTAAATCATTCCGCATATATTTTGAAATAAAAAAAAAAGAACAACAACATAAGTATGAGAGCTGATAAGATTTATTTTTTTGTTATAAAACGTGTTCACTTTTATAAAATCATATGATCAATGTTATGGTAGGCTTTGTTTATTTTCTCATATTATTTCAATTTCATATACGATTCAGCTAGTGTTTTATTTAGAAATCTGAATGGCATATATAGCACGACATATGAATTCGCAATAAAATTTTGGAATTTTTTTGATTGCCTGAACTTGTCTGCGTAAATAAGCCTACATATATATATATATATGTACATATAGACTTTCTAGGCGAGATTCTTCCATTTCATTGTATGTTTTTAATCTGAATGCTTAGAGTTTTTAAACATTTTTATGTTTTGTTTTATTTGAAACGCTTTAGATTTGGGTAGTTTAGCTGATTTAAGCATAAAAGTAAAGTTTCTCAGAGTCATAAGAATCTTAAATCTTCAATTTTATCAGGTTCAATTTAGTAATCTTGGCTAGTAAGGTATAAACAATAAATTAAATCCAGGGGTGGCGAAGGTCCTTATTTTTCGATTACGAATTTCGAAAGGTACCTTATTTTACCGTTAATTTTTAAATTTTGAATTTCGAAACATAAGGTACACTAACACAAACAAAATTGTACTTTTGAATTTTTTTGCAATTTATCCATTAAATCATACTTTAAAGCTTGTTTAAAGCATCCATTAATCATTACTAAAGCTGCATTAAGTAACTTATCATGTCCTGTACACAAAATTAGTTGAAATTAAGTCAAATTTCAATGAAACATTTTCAATGTTTACATTCGAATATTTTATGTTTGTGTTAGTGAATTTTAACAATATATTCAAATTTTTCCGAATTTAGCGGTAATAGCTCTGTTCGCTACCCCTAGAATTAAATAACACTCTTCATAGTTATTTATTCCAAAAACCAAAACTTTTATGACTTCGAATGGCAGCAAAAAGAATTTCTAAAAAATTGGTACTTAAGCGTTACAAAATATATGAACAAGACCTTAGATGCTTAATCGAAATCGTTTAAATAATTTACTAATAGCTTAGAAAATTACTAAGACATTAAATAAAATTCAAGATGACATAAATCTGAATAAATCTCATTTATGACTGTATTGATTCTCGTTGTATCTTCAATTATTGTAAGCTGATGTTTTATAGGCTTCCAATATTCTTCGTGGCAAATGATTCAACATGTTGTTTTTGAAAATCTAGTCACAATCTGTAAGGGGCCGTTCACTTATTACGTTCGCGTCTTAGGGGGGAGGGGGGGGGCGGGTGTGTTTGAAAAATTGTAGCAAAATGTAACATAGGGGGGGGGGTGTCAAGAAGTATGTAACGTTTTAACTGTCGTCTGTCAAATTCATACCAAAAACATTTTTTTTCAAATTTTCCGCCTTTTTAATGATAAAATAAATTATGAACGTTCAGGGGGGGGGGGGGGGGGGAGGGGTTGTGAGTTGTTGGTGGAAAAAGTCGTTTTTTTGCGTAACGTAATAAGTGACGGCCCCTAAGTCATTACTAGTTAAATCAAAAATTGCCGTAAGCATCATCAGCATGATAGATTATCTACTCACATGAGAATTACTTAACTTAACAAAATATAATAGAATTAAAAATTTTTTGGCAGCTTATCAACTTGTTATGTATTTGAAAATTTTGAATTTTTTTGATTATTTTTGATTAGTCTTGGTTCAGCATCAAACTAGAGTAAACCTGCGGTAAGGTTATTCAAAAATAATAAATTTTAATCTACACTCAATTAATTTATTTTTTTAAAAAAAAAATTATAAGACGAAACATTTCACTGATGTATGTATCTTATTGCTCTATTATTCTACAATCAATAAAATATGGCGCTCGTTTTATAAGTTTTGATTAAAAATTACAGCACGGGGATGCAAGATAACGAATATTTAATTACTCAATTGTTTACATTTACAGATCATTTTCTGAAAAAATAAATATGACAATCGTACGAAGTCTCGTATTAATTCCCATCCTCACATTTTGTTTTGTTAGTTCATTCAAGCTAGTTGAACAGTTAGATCTGAATAAAGAGACTGACATGGAAGACTTGGATCATTATTTAGAAAATTATTTCACCGAAGATAAGCCTTTTGCTCTGTTGCTTGATTATGATGGAACACTGGCTCCGATTGCGCCAAATCCTAACTTAACATATATGACTGATTACACGACAGAAGCATTGGTAAATATTTCATCAAATCCAAATGTACTGCTCGCGATAATTTCCGGTCGTGGAGTCGATGATGTAAAAAGAAAAGTCAATATTCCAAATGTGATTTACGGAGGAAATCATGGCTTAGAGATTTTATACCCTAATGGAACCAGATACATTCATGAGATTCCTGATGACGCAAAGGAAAATTTCAAACAGATTGTAGCAGAGCTGGAAAATGTATAAAAAATATATAAAATTTTTTCGTATGCACATTAATTTACAATTCTTATGATAGATATGCAGAAAAGGAGCTTGGGTAGAGAATAAGAAGTTTTCATTGACATTCCATTATCGAGCTGTTCCTGATGATGAACATGATATCATTAGAGATGAGGCTAGAAAAATCATTGAATCTCATGGATATGCAGCAAATCAAGCGCATTGCGCAATTGAAGCTAAACCACCTGTTGTATGGCACAAAGGCAAGGCTGCTGATTACATTTTAAGCTACCAATATGGACCAAACTGGAGAAATGAAATTCATGTGGGTCAACTTAAAATATTTCAGACTGTACCATTATTTTAATAATTATTGTATTACAGGCTGTTTTTGCTGGAGATGATACAACTGGTAAATCATAGTTTTTTTAACTTCCCAATTTCTTTCAGCATGGCATTTAATTTGATTTACAGATGAAGATATCTTTGAATTATTGAAAGGCATGGGTGTTACATTTAGAGTAACAAAGGATCCCAATATTGAGACCAAAGCACTTTATAAACTTCCATCAACTGAAGCTGTCACAAAGGTTTTACAATGGCTGGATAATAAATTCTGTAGATCATGCAAATAAATTCATTAACGGATTTTTATTTGAAATTTTTTTAATCCGAAAATTAAACCGATTTGTTTACGTTTTCTAATTTTTTGAAGTGAATAATTCTTTCCAGGAAAAATAGTAATATAATTAAATAAAAATGAATAGTGAGGACGAAAGGTTTGAGGTATGATTCTAAGCATTGCAAATAAATTATTCCTATACTTCCATAGTATTGATAAGTGAAATATTCGTGAAATTAATTTTAATTAAAATTTCAAGATTGGTGACGACTTAAGTGGTAATTTGACAGTTCCTTCAAAGAGTTCTAGAGGTCCAATTAAATCATCTAACTTTGATACACTAGATGAGCCAATTAGAGACACAATTGTAAGTGTTGATTAAAGTGTTTGATATTGAAATGAGATATAATAAATTATTCATAGATGCGAGATTTGAATGCTGTAATTAGTAAGTTCAGACACGTCCTCAATCCTAAACAGAAAAATAATATGCTTAAGGAATGGGATCTTTGGGGACCTTTATTACTTTGTACTACAATGGCTACGATACTTCAAACTTCCTATCAAGAAGACAAAAATGCTGATAGTGGTGGACCAGAATTTGCAGAAGTCTTCTTAATCGTTTGGTTTGGAGCTGGAATTGTAACATTAAATTCAAAGTTACTAGGAGGTCAAATATCATTTTTCCAATCAGTTTGTGTGTTGGGATATTGTCTTACACCACTAGCATTGAGTCTTATATGCTGTAAAATTATTCTCATACTATTTACGCAGACCGGCTTTTTCTTCTTCTTGAGAATAGTAATCTCAATGCTAGGATTTCTTTGGGCGACATATGCATCAGTAATGTTTATGGGCGACAGTCAACCACCAAAAAGAAAAGCATTAGTTATTTATCCAATGTTCTTATTTTATTTTGTTATATCTTGGTTAGTTGCATCTCATACAAATTAATTTGGATATTATAAAAATTTTCTATGCTAAAATATATTTTCAAGTATAAATTGCACCTAGCTATATGAAATTTGAAAAGAAATAAAGGAAAGGAAGAAGTTTTTTCAATTTAAAATGTTTATGCGTTTTTAGTAACTAGAACTAAGAGATATGAAATTTTTATTCTATTGATTCATCAGCACTACTTTGGTCAGCAGACAAGCATGGTGATGGCAATGGACTTGAACGAGGACTTCTAGAGGGACTTCTTGTTAAATCGAATGACATGTGTAATGGAAATCCTACATTATTTGGAAATGCATTCTTTTTGGGTCTAGAATTGTTCGAGATCTTTCTGGGTCTTTTATTCATAAAATGTCTTTCAACCCATTTAAGCATAGTTAAGACGGAGTCTGTAGATGGAAGACGACGTTCAGCTGCTGTCTTGATGATATTAGAGCTAGCAATACGGAATGTAGCAGCGACACCACGTAGAGCCTTAAAAAATAAATAAATATTATTTCTAAGAAGCATGTTCGATTCTTAAAAAGTACCATCATAGCATCTTCATCTGTGACGTCATCACCAGCATAAATGATTTTAATTCTTTCACTCCAATCAACACCGAAGGCTGTTCTAAGAATATATATTGAAGCACGACCTTTATTCCAAGGAACTGGTGGTTTAGCTTCTAAGGCACAATGAGCATTTGTTGATTTGAATCCATAGAATTCCATCAAACCACGGGCTTTTTCGAGCATTGCAGGACGAAGTTCGTTTGGTGTATCACGATAATGGAATGTCAAAAGCGCACCCTTGTTTTCTACCCAAGCTCCATCACGACAAACCTTAATTAAGAAAGCTTAGTCAAAACTAGTTCCGAATTCCATAAATCAATACTTACAGAATCTTGAAGTGCTTTCAGCAAGTTACTAACTTTCTCTTCATATTCAACAGGCATAGGATGAACAAATTTGCTGCCATCGGGATGTAAAATTTCTAAACCATGTTTACCTGCATATGTAATGCCTTCAATCCCTACCATATTTTTTACATTCTCGACACTACGACCAGAAATGACGGCAATATACAAATCAGATATGTTGCTCAATCGTTGTAAAACATTCTTAGTTTCTGGTGGCAATGTAGCCAAATCAGGATGTGGAGCAATTGGAGACAAAGTACCGTCATAATCAAGCAATAAAGCAAGTTTATGCGAATAACCGATGTAGCTAAAATTATTATAGATAAAGTCAATTAATGAAGCTTAGAGAAACAAACAAACACGTACTTGAGCAAATAGTCATCAAAGTCATCTATTGTTACTGGTTGTAAACGAGTTGTTCCAATATCATCTTCTTCCAAACCAGATCCCATTGCTTTTAAGAATGATCTCATCCAATGATTTACATCATGCTCCATTTCTCTTCGTCTAAGTCGACTCATTCTTAAAGATCGTTCGTCTTCAGGCATTGTTAAGGCACGATGAATTACTTCAGCAGCAGCGCCAATTTCATATGGATTACACAACAATGCTTCGTGCATCGTTTCTCCAGCACCAGCAAATGGACTTACAATCAAAACTCCTAAGAAATAAATAAAGTTCAAAATTCATTTCGACCTTGTTTGAATCAAAAAATAATGTAGGATGAACATTTATTATTAAATTACGTACCTGGTGGTTCATTAATTTGACATGCTACGAATTCTTTAGCTACGAGATTCATGCCATCACGTAAAGGAGTAACTAAAGCTACAGCAGCATCACGATAGTAAGCAGCAAGTTCACTTTGTCCAACGCATCCGAAAATGTAGCGAATAGGAGCCTGAATTAAAAGATTATTAGGATTGGAAAATGTCATGATCAAAATTATAAAGACTTACCCAAACTGCTGTTGAAAATCTACCATTAATGCGACCTAGACGGAAAAAATATGAATTTAAGAAATAATTTTAAAGATAGCAATTATATTGATCATACCGACAAGTTGATCCATTTCTTCCTTTAATTGCTGATATTCAAGTACATCTGTACGTGAAGGTACAGAAATTTGCAAGAAACTTACATTTCCTCTATGTTCTGGGTGTTTTTCCAATAAAATTTCAAAAGCTTTTAGGCGATTTACTAATCCTTTTGTATAATCTAATCTATCAACACCTAGGATGACTTTCTGCTTCGTTTTTATAACCTTCTTTGCAGATCTTGCTAACTCTACGAATCGATCATAAGGTATTCCAATTGGGAGTGGACGAACTCTTACCTTTTGAGAATTTAAAGTAAATTAAAATGTATTAAATGACATTTTGATTACTTACAGAGCGACCACCATGTTCAACGAGTAAGTTCTTGCGATCAACACGACAACCTAAATTTCTTTGGCAACAATCAACAAAGTTTATACAATAATCACGGATATGAAATCCGACCATATCACAAGCTAGCATTCCTTGAAGAATTTCATCAGACCAAGGAAACAGACGGAAGATATCCCAAGGTGGGAATGGAATGTGCAAGAAAAATGCCAATTGAAATTGAAGATTTTTCTCTTCCGCCTTTTCACGAATATAATTCGCGCACAGCATTAAATGATAATCATGAATCCATACAATAGGAATTCCGGGATTTTGGGGATCTTTGGTGCAACGTTCGATAGCTTGAATTGTCTTATCAGCAAACAGTTTGTTTGCTGCGACATAAGCGCGCCAGTGATCAGCAGAGAAAATGGCACGACCTATTGAACAAAATATTTATTTTCGAAACTTATTAATGAGCTCAAGGTTTGTTGACTTATGATTTGCTCATTCTTACCCGGCATAGAATGAAAAAGAGGCCAATGTGTTCCATTACAGCATCCATTGTAGTAAGCTTCAAAAAGGTCAGGGTCCATATTTACTGTAACCACCTGAGGTTATCAAAGAAAAAAGAACAGAATGGAAGGAATTCAAAATTTGAAATCGGAAATATTTTTTTATCAGTACTTGTTTTGATTTTAAACCAGCTGTAGGAGTTTGGTCACTTGGGTCAGATTCGGGTAGATTTTCATCATTGTAATCTGAGGGTAAGTGAAGTCCAGGCCATCCAACCCATTGTCCTTTTCCCTTTATCACGACTGGTGCGACTGCAGTAACCTAAAGAACAAACAATCGTGAGCTTTATTAAGCCGGAAGAGAAAAAAAAATGTTTACTTACTAATCCACCAGCACTGATCCGAAGCAAAACAATATAAATGAGAAGAGAAAATAAGGAATCAGAAAATAGTTCAATATTTGACTTTCAAGACGCTACTTTCGTATCATTTACAAACAAAAATAATAAATAAGTACATTAAAAACATTGAATATGACGTAGCTAGCGAAGGTCGTAATGTTCAAAAAACATCTTTCTTCTTTCTCATGTAAATCTCCTATCATAATTATTGTGATGATTATGGGTCACACAGACGTATTAAAGAAACGTGTCTTACAATATTCTTTGTGCAAAATATTTTGTTTACCGACTTATTAAATCTATCTGGAGTCAATGTTTTTGGTTTTTGAGATTATTGTTATTTTTCATTCAGATTAATCAGGACATTAAAAACTGTTTTATAGCTTTGGCACCGTACCTATCAAACAAACTTGTAATTGATAATCAAAAACTGTTCCAACAATTATTTTAAAAACTTTTCATTGTAAGCTTAAGCATTGTGTTAATGTGCATCATTTTACTGCTTAATATCGATGTAAATTTATTATTATAATCTTTTATGACATTGACTATAAAACAAGTGATAATCTTTAAAATCCTATAAACTATTTCACGTGAACATCACTCACTACGCTCACTATTTATATTAACTTTTGATAACGTTCAGCATGCATAGTAAGGTTGCATGATGATGAGGTAGATATTTTTTACTGCACTTGGAAATTATTCTTTGAACTAGTTCGCACTTAGTAGCTTTAATTGGAGGTATTCATTTGCATCTTTTTTTGCCTGGATACTGCTGAATTTTTTTTTCTGAGCTGCTGTGTCTCGGAAAAGGTCCAAAATGTCGAGAATTTTCAAAATTTAAAAATATATTTATATTTGATTTTGTTGATTAAATTTGAATTATATTTAATCCTTTTTACATTTTTATTAAGAGCACTTTAATTAATCTACAATCTAAGTGCACCCATAATATCAAACTAATATTGTCCTGGATTTTTACGGAATATAGATAGTCACCCTAGTTTAATCTGATGAGAAATTTTTCTTTGAAACAAATAAATTCAAAGTTCAAGAATAATTACTAAATTTGATTATCATTTCATTTCTCTGTCCATCTACAGAACAGAAAACTAAATAGTAAACAACAAGCTTAAAATTAATAACCCCCAATAACCAAAACCGCTTAAAAGCTATCTTAATTGCAGTTTACTTTCAGCAAAGAAATAGTGCAGCTTCTTCAATTTCCAAAGCTTAATTATTAAAATTAAGCTGATGATGTTAAAAATATAAATAAAACAACCCTGGCAAAATGATAGTCGGCATAACATTTTTGATTGATTGGAATCACTTAACATCACTATTTTGGATTTCCAATAATTCTCAGAACTAGTTTTTTGATTGATATTTTTTTCAAAGTTAAAAAAATTCTAAATTATCAAAATTAATGTGATTAGTATGTTCAAACAACTCAAAAATGACTTAACGGATATATGCTCTCGATCGTAATAAATTTTTAAAATATTACAATTAATTGCGCAATTCTTGAATGTAAGATCGAGCTTTAAGTAGCTTTCTTAGAGTAATACCCCCAAAATATTTTATTTATCTTTGCCCAGGGCAACATGAGAATTTTTCCAAAACCAGCCAAAATTATTTTACTAACATATTATCGTATCGTGACACATTTTTTACCACCACTGAACAAATTATTCAAATAAAATTTTGCTTACCTTGCTTGACGGTACATTGTGCCATCTTCATTCTTTTTCAGAACGAAAGGCAAACGATTGGAAACAACAATTAAACTATTACTTTTGACAATTGTTTCTGCAGCTGTAACCGTAATTTCAGGTTCACTTTTTGGTTCATCAACTTCGGCAATCATGTTTAATTTGTGTATTAAATCAATTTTAATTCTTAAATTTTAATCAAGTCTTTTAGATTCTAGATTTGGCACATTCCAAGTGATCAATGCAAAAAAATAATTATAATATAAATTCAAACTTATTGTCAATGAAACCCAAGTAGATTTTAATTAGATGTGATGGCATCCACGATTAAAGAAAGACTAAATGAGAATTATTAAAATTGATTTTATTAAAAGTATTTGAAGGACCAGTTGCTTCCTTATCAATTTCATTATTATTTTTTACTTATACGAGACTGTATTCGTGAGAATTATGAATATGACAAGTGAATGTTTTAAGATGAGAGCGCAATCATTAATGACTAACAAGTAAGTCTTATTTTGTTTTACGAAGAGATCTTTATGTTATAAAGAATAAACAAATTCCGATTCATTGTCGCTTTATGAATGCAAAAAAAAAAATGATCAGTTGTAAGGAAATGCTGAAAGCATCAACAAGTTTATTTTTTCGTGAAAGAGAAATGAAGGAAGTCAAGCGTAAAGTGAGAGATCAAATGCGCCTCAATCTAGATTTGTCAAGATATAATAAAACTTTCTATTATGTCAAAAAAACGTTCATAAAAGCTTATCAATAGACCACATAAAAGTCAATACAAATCTTAATTTACATAGCTGATAACGATTTTGGAGATGCTGAAAAATAAATAATAAATCGATGCATCAAAAAAATTATGTTCTGTGAAAATTGTTCATGATTTTAATTTTTATTTGTTTCTATTTTGTTACAAATTATGAATTAGTTTTAATGCTTGGAAAAGCTTTGTTCGTGCAGTTCCATAAAATTCAAATATTATTCTTCATTTCGATTCCTTTTTTTTTGTATTCATCACAGTCAAGCATGAATTAAACTAAAATTCATTAACATATACCAAAAAATAATTTACTAAGCTTTTTACTTGTATGCTAGTTATAGTTTTTGGGAATCATAAATATTGCTTGGACGTCTTAACTTATTAGGAATTAAAAACTATATAGTACTTGTGGTCTTCCATCAAGTTAATTTATTATTTTGCTAAATTTTCACACAAAAATAAAGCATTCCACAATTCTATTTGGAGAGCTTCCAATTCTAGCTTTAAGATTATATTCTCAATAAGAAAGTTGAGAGAAAAATTCGGGCTGATAAAGTTCATTTATCCCTGAATTCAATGATTCAATTCCACGAATGTTTATTGCTTTATAAAGCATTGACGAAAAGGTAACACAAATAAACAAAAAAAATCTTCTTAAATTATTTTTTGATATTTTTCTACGTCCGTTTTTGTCATCATCTGAATACATTCTAACTTGTTGATTAAAAAAATTGAAAAACAAAATCGTTACAATACATAATGTCACAATTGATATAGCTTAATTACAATTTTTTTTACGAAAAAAATTTCAAAACCATAAAATTTAAATTACTCATAAAATAAAATATGTATTGCGATGGAACTCTTTGATCATTATCGATTATGTTAATCATGTTAGAAATCTGTGGCGCGCCTAGATTAAAATTTGCAACATTTAAAAATAGAATGATAAATGTTGCGTTATTTACAAAATGCTCTGATATCCCAAATGACTAATAGCCGTCAGTTAAAGTTTTAATAACCAAAATGTGTATTGTTGTGGCCAATTTTTATATATTATGGAATCAGAACGCCGCAATATGAAAAATTAATAAAACATTTTTGATTTACAAATATGGATAAATAATTAGACAAGCTTGACATTTTTCTGTAAAATGGGGACACATTTTGGGGCGTTAAAAATTACGTCAATTTTTTTTTTGTTGTTTTAATGACCCTTCGTCCCTCTATGTGACGTCATTTATGATAAACATTTTAACTAATTGATCATTTTGAGTGGTTTTCTCTCAAAAATAAGAGATGTTAAAGTTCAAGCAGGTTAGGGGTTGCTTAATAAATCTAAATTATCATGACGTCATTTATAAATGGTTCCAAAGAAACATACAATTTCATTCCACAAAGATAATGATCAATGAGTTAAACCATCACTAAAAAGTACCTCCTTAAAATAGCCTCAAAGTTAAAATTCATTTATTTTCAAATTCTTATCTGTGAATAATGCTTAATTCCTAACACATTTTTGTAAAACAAACATAATGGAACATTGTGTTGTGAAGTGTATTAAAATTATACATTTGGTGTTTGATTAGAGAACCTTAATTTAATTTTTAACTTTTTGAATCAACTTCTTAAATAACCAAAACTTTTTTTAAATAAAAATAAAGTATGAATGTAGCACATTTTGGTTACGTAGATACTGAACAATACGAGAACTTTACGGCAAACATTTAAAAATTTTTATACTTTGGCATAATCTTTTTTACCAAACTTTACCTTTGGATACAATAATTTCAACAACTTGCTGTTTATTTAAGGATGTTCAAAATGATTTGCCATAAAATTTTTGTATCTTCAATGAATGTTGTTTAAAACTTTGTAAAATTCCACTATTAATTCCAAAATTTACATATTTATACAGATAAATGACTAATCTCTTTTAAATATTTCTACTTTATTAAATTTCGAACTCCTTTGGCTCGTGCTGCATATTTCGTGCATTCTTTTTAGAGCAATGCACTTGTCATTCTACTTTGTTTATCTATTTACTTTGGTTCGGGCTTGTCATACAAATGTTGTTGAATAAATATTAATTTACTGATTGCTCCAATAGGAATGCATCTCCAAAACTTTTAAGACAATATTTTTTTAAAAATTATATCAACAAAAATTAAGTTTAAAACTAAAACAAATTAAAATCAACAAATTTAATAGGATAATTATTGAAAGGAGTCACGATTGCTTCCATTCTTTCGCGTGGAAGTTAATATGTTAATGTGATTAAATTTAAGGTAGCGGTAAATAAATAAATAAATAATTCATATATCTGTAACAGAATTATTTGTTATTTCATGATTTATATCTGTCAATGGTCTCTCATGGAAGAATTAATTGTGTTACTAAAGTATATTGTATTTAATGCACGTGATTTGTATATAATGGCATTTATATTACGTAAGATAATGCAGAAGTGATAAAGATGAGATGTTCGTCTTTTGAATTAGCAAATCAATAGTATGAACGATCACGTTTTAGTTCATTATCAAGATCTGCGAGTTGCTGTAAGAATCCTTCATTTGGATGAATATCCCTGTGCATTCGAACAGTTCTTATTGCTTCAGCTGCAGACATCTTTCGTGAAATCATAAGATATGCTAACGTACATGTGGCAGATCTTGACATTCCAACCATACAGTGGACGAGAACTTTTCCTGTGAATTTTTTGATTAAAATGTTTATTTTCTTACACTTAATATTCAATTACTTACCACCGCTATTAAGAGCATTCTCAATGAATTTTGATGCAATATAAAAGTATCTTGAAATATCTGTTGAAGGTTGATCAGTTAAAGGAAAGCCCATGTATCTGATTTGCAAATAAAGTAAATTGTGAATGATTTAATTTTAATTTGAATAAGAACATTTAGTATCCTTACCTCAAGTTGCTCATATCTCTATAATAACTATGACCTGTATCAACTTGTCCAAAACGAGAACCTTCTGCGGTATTGAGAACATGTGTAATTCCCATCATACGAAGATATTGCTTATTCCTAGCAGCAGCTCTGTAACAATAATTATTCTCAATTATTTAGTGATAAAATAACATTTTTTGTATATCATTACGCATCACCGATGTAAACCCTTGGATAAACTTCATCGCAATCAACATCATATAGTATGTTCGGATCATTACGACGTATGCATGATTGTAATGGACGACACGGTGTTACTGAATAATGGATTATTCGCTGAAGTTGTTTGCCTGAGAGAAAATGAAAATTGTTGTCAAAAATATTTTTTTTTGAGCATTCAAGAATAAACGATTTTATGTACCTGTTGTAACATCAGCAGTTTTTTCTTTGTAATTTCCAGAATACTGCAAAAAAATATGTTAAATATTTATAGATATAAAACATCAATTTAAAATGTCCGGGTATAAAAATAGGACAAAAATTTTCCCCTTCCGGTATCCTAATTTATTTCTATTTATGCTTTTCAAGGATATGAACACGCAAATGCAAATTCCTAATTTCATGAAAATTAAATAAAATGTTGAAACTTGTGAAAGTTTTGAAAACTTAAACTTTTCACTTTGTTTGTAAATAAATTCATTATTTTATGACTAGACAGGATTTTTAAAGTTTTTCATTTTCACGAAATCTTGTCACATTTCAGCTCACTGAAATTTGGTGTCATGAGAAGATATCTTAAAAATTAATTTCAAGTCAGGTCATCCACATTTAAACTAGAAATTTCGACCCAAAATAAAATTTATCAATAAAAATTTCATGAATGTCGTGCATGTGAAAATAATTGTCGCACTACATTCCATCAAGCTTTTGACATATTGTGTAACTATCATAAAATATTCATGCTTGTGACAATATCATTCACTGACTAATTGAAGCAATACGCTAATTACATTAGACTAAATATAAATATTTCATTGCATATGGATACACTACACGTTTGCTTCTTGACGATTCATTTCCCATCTTCTTTTCCTATTAACTTTTAATGCGTCAAAGTACACTTTAATCTATCATCATTCAAAATATCGAGTCAAAAACTGGTGTTAATTTTACTAATGCCATGTTCTCTCACTATGAACTTGTCTCTAACATGTTCAACTACAAACTGAGACATGATTTTTCGTTATGAAAATTATTCTTTTGATCGATACGCTTCACAATAAAATTGGCATTTTCGATTAGAATAGAAGGTTGATATAATTAAATCTGTGTCTATTGGAAATTTCATATTTCTATAATGTTGGCCCGAATATGTAAGTTAAATGTCCTACACAGGTATTTTGATGCGCTTTTGGAATGACAAATTGCACGAAAAAATATGCTTTATAAAGTTAATAGAATAGATATTTTGGATGATGTAACATTAGATGGACAATCTGTAATCCTGTTTAAAGTGAGAATGTGAGTTCGAATCCCATCAGACACTGATATTTTAATCGGTCTCAACTATCAATCATATGACTTATCGATAACTGTTTAGTTTCATAAAGTGCTTGAGAGGACATTAAAGACTAAGTGTCTTCTTCTATTCTTGTCTGATATTGCAATTTAAAAATTCAAATTTGTGCTTTCAGGAATGTTTGAGACACTGATAAATTAGAAATGCTATAACTTAACAGAATGAGAAATTTGAGTCACCTAAATGCGCGCTTGTCACAAACAAACAATTTCAAGCAGTTTTCTAGTGTAAATTTGTTTTGATATGTTTGCATTAAAAAAAGCTTTTGTGCTACAAGAAAACAAAGCTTTTTATTGTGCAGAAGAATGTGAAGAAATCAAGACAGAGACATGGAAATATTTAAGTATAAAAGTTTGCATATTCAAAGAGATTTTATGTAAAAGGTTTGTCTATTAATGTCCGTATTAGATATTCAAGATAATGGATGCTATCGATTTTTCATCTCCTTTTATTTTTAGAAATATTTGAAAAGAATGTAGCAGATTTAACGAAGAATTCTCAATTTTTTCTCGTTCTTCAAAACAATAAATTCACTCGAGACTTTCAGTTTAAATGGAATATCCATAAATTATTCCAGTTCTTAAAATATCGATAAATTTTCACGTCAAACGTTTCTTCCACGAAACAAGATTTTCAATATTTTTTTTTATCAATGAAAGGAAATGTTTTACCAAGCGGTAAAGAGCCATCGTTCTGTATTCAACAACAACTTTCACTTTCCGTAAAATTTTATTTTATTTTTTCGTCTCCTGACGTGTTTATTGTTTAAGATTACAAGTGGAACTAGAATTTATCGTAAAAATCGTTGCAGTTTTATTATTTTACACAGCATCAAAATTCCAGAGTTTAGAATCGTCCTACACAAGAACTAAATTGATGAATTAAATAAATTTATATACATATGTAATTAAGTTTGGGAAACGCTCCCTAAAATGACATGAGCGCATTTGAAATAAGATGCTTCGACATAAAAATCTAATAACAGATATTTATCGGAAACTGAAATTGGATATTGTTCTTTATGTTTGATGATATTCACCCTAAAAGCACAATTCAAGTGACTGTATTGAACGATAAAATTTATGGCAAGTCGTTCATGTCTCTGTGATTCGATTTTTGTTCTCCTCGGGTTAAAATAATTTTAGACAAACTGCGTAAGTCGTAATAAACTTTTTAAGATGATAATTATCGCTTCAACAATGTTTGTTATTCTCAAAAAATAATAGGAAGTCTAGAACAATTGATGAAGCTTGTTTTATCCATAACTGCATTTGCTTACATTAGCAAGACTTGAATTTTAATATAAAAGCGACAATTACTTCAAAGTATATCAGAATTTTTAATTAACAAATATGCAGTCTCGTGTGCATTGCACGAGTTCTAATTGATGTCCATATGTCTATCTAAATGACATCGAATCCACGTGTATAATAAATGGAACGTAGGAATACGATTCGGATGCTTATGAACAAAAATAGACAAATTTAATTCTATTGATCAGGCAATAACGGTTTAATTGTAATATTCTCATTGCTTAACTTTGAACTTGAATTTATTTTTTTCGTTCTGTTATTTCCCACTTATATACATACTTGGCTATATACACAATAGAATCATTTAGTGTAAATATATTATGAATGCATTAAATCTATTTACCTATTGTATATGGACTGCATAAATGGGATTTAGAATTTTTAAGCATGAATGAATCACAAAGGTTTATATTCCTATAACAATTCCATAAATCATTAAAGCGTGAAACTCGCGAGTTTTTAAAGCTTCTTAGTAATGAAATTTCTATAAAAAAAAACTTATATCTTTATATGTATTCACATATATTTTTATAATTCATTATAAAGTATGTAGACTTCTTGGCATAATGACAACTTTCCGAGAAAAATTTCAACCTTGATACAAAATGTGAGCGCTGTTTTTTTACTTTCCTGTGACATGTTACCTGCGCACATTTAATTTAATTTTCTATATTAATCATCTGAATGGAATTTACTCTTCACACTTTTAATTTTCTTCGTGATTTTCTATTTATATCCTCATCATTTTTTTAAAATCTTGATGAATTTTTCGTGTAGGTATTCGTAAATTTTTTTTCATTTCTTTGTTGAAAGTAATTGAAATGTTTTAGTCTTCTTTCTACTTAAAATACAATATTATGAGCCTGATTTACACATTAATGAAATATTTATTTATGATCTAATTATAATACCGAAGTAAATCTACTGGGGAGGATACGAAGAAAGTATCAACGAACTTTATTCTATAAATGTACATCAGTAGAAGTATTGATATAACAGTTCTGATTTATACAGAAGGCAGCACCGAAAAAGGAATAAAAAATTACTACATTCGAGCTGCTTGAGCTTGTGTTTTACTAAGGGGGTGATAACAAATGACGTCTACAAAAAAATTAATTTTTCAGCTCCTTACAGTTTTGACATAAGATAATACTTCTTTAGTATCTATGTACAATCCCTTTTTCTTAAGTTAAGACGTCATTTTTGAACAACCCATAAATCGGAACAAGTGTTCATGTCAAGCATCTATTAAAGAATTGATTTGGAAAAATTGTTGCATTTTTATGCATTCCACCTACATTTTTCATTTTTAATGATTCCTAAAAAGAAATTCTAGGGAACTAAAATGTCTATATAGCTTGATTTGAAATTTTTCCATTATCTTCTTATCTTTTGAATTCAAATCTTTCAAAAGTTTTGTCATTTTTCATTCTGGCGAAAATTCACTGCCATTATTGGCAAAACTAGTTCCATTTATCATTTAAGGATAATGCTTTTTGTTGAGTCATAAGCCCATATTTTCTATTTGATTTCAATATGAAATGCCTTTCACACTGTTTTTGCACTTGACATAGATCTAGTCGTCTATGTATATTCATTTCTTTTTGAAAGACGAGAAATGTGCCTCAACGAAGTTACAGAAAGTTGTTCTTTTTATAGAAATTTGAATTAATTTTCTTCCTTCCTAAATTTAAAAGTCAAGCATGATTTTCAGTAATGCATGAATGTTGTTTCAATTCTCGCTGGAAATCACTACAAGATTGTGCACCGACAAGTTGTTTAAACACCCACTTAATTTTCAACTATGATGTTAAAACAGAAATGAAGAAACAGAATAAGCTGTTTACAAGTTGCTTCCTTAATTCTTCTCTTATTGAATTTATTACAGTCATTCCTTAAGTGGCTGTTAAGCTTTTTTACTCTTTCACAATATTTTGTAATAAAATTTTCGTTGCACGTGTTCGGATCTTATAATTAATCTCGCATTTTTATCAATTTTTTTTTAATTATTCTTACCGAGTAGTATCTCCATGATGCCATATTTAGAAAACTTAATAAATTAATTACTTAAAACAAGGATGATTTGTCTTTACGGAATATGCAAAACTAGCCAAACAAGTACGAGAATAATGAATGAGATTTATTCCCTTTTTGATTGTACAAAAAAAATGTGTGATGTTGAGCAACAGCAAATATCAACTAAAGTGTACAATGCCGCTTGGAAAAATTTTCATACAGCTGAATGAAAATTTTTTTGTTTTTACTTTTCTGCCTGTGAGAGTATGTACATACACCTACATATACATTTTCATATTCAAGTTTTTCTCTTACATAGAGAGCGAAAAATAGAAAATCGAAAAATATATAAAAAAGTTTTTTTTTGTATGCAGAAAGTTATTTATATGACGTCATTTTAGAATCACAGCATGAGTCAGTCGCGACGCTTTGATATTAAAAAGTTATTTCCAGGACTGTTTAATACACGACGATGACACTGCTGGCATATATTACCATCTAATTTACCAATTTGTATTCGCAAACAAATTCTGTTCTGTTTACCATTGTCGTGAAGGAACGGAACAAACTTTTTTTTTCACAGTGCAGATTTGTTGTTATTACTTCGTTCTGTTCATTGACGTAAGAGAGTGAAATATGAGAAATATTTATATACACACATTTTCTCTCAGAAAATTATCTCTCCTGAATAATTTCATTATTTATATACGCAGAAAATAAATTTTTTTTTTCAAAGGCATAACTTAATACTGCTTAAAAATATTCAAAGATAAACATCATCACTTCTTTTTATTTGCTTAATGACAATGTCTTCTTTTCGATAAAGTTCTTTTTTTGGAATGACATCTTTACATAATCTTAGTCAATTAATTAAACTAGAGTCATTGATACTTGTAAATCAACAACAAAGTGTCGGCAAAATTTCACAATTTTTGAAATTGTCAAACGACTTACTTGCATTGTTTTATTTTTAAACTTTTGTTAATTCTCACTTCTATTTTTAAAAAAAAATTAATATTGTCAATTTTTTTAAAACTCTTCACTGTAAAAATAGATATTTAAATGGATTTTTTGTGTCTATAAGATGCTGAAGATAAACTGAATGAATCAATCTAAGAGAGAGACTTTGAACATCTACGAACTGTTCTAAGTGAAGCAATATTGTCTTATGTTTTGAAGAGAGGGTTTCTCTCACAATCGAATCGTCAATAATCATAACGCATGTGAGAGTATATAACAGCTTTCAGGGGTTGAAGGAATTTATGAACACATTTGAACGAAAAATCATAAATATGTTGAAAGCACTAAAATTGTAAGATTATTGGTTGTAGGTTTTTCAATTACAATCGCTTGTACATACGGTTATATACTTGGGAATTCCTGTGATTCTCAAACATTTTGGCAATCAGGTGTTTTATTTTTAAATTTTTAAAAGTCGTTATGAAAAATTTCATATTAATTGACAGCAAAAAGGTGAATTTAAGTCATCATTAAAATTGTTTTAACATTTAATTCCACTTTTTTTTAAATAATTATAGAAAATAAAATGAAATTTAAATCTTCACTATAAAATTAATGTCATGTTCAAGGTTCTCGAGAGAAAACTCTCATTTTTTGATGCAAACAAAATCAGCTGTTTCTCAGTCATTTGTTTACTCTGTTACCAAATAGTTCTTTCCATAATCCGAAATGGATTTTAATGAGGATTTTGGCGATTTTAATGTTCTTCCTGAAGAAATTATTATTCATATCATCAAGTTTTTACCAAATCGTTGGAATCTATCGCTAGTCAATTGGAACTTTTATGAATTAATTTGTAAAGTTGAAGCGAATAAATATCGATTGAAACTGATTGATGTAAGTATTATTGGATTTACTTCAGGAAAGTTTTCGTAAATATATTATATCTTTTAAGATTGATGACGATCTTGAAAAATATGAGTCTGTGATAAATACAGGGAGAAAATTTGATGAAATTAAGATGATGAATTTGAAGTCTGAAGATGATCACGTGACTGAGAAACTAAGAAGTATTCTTGAGAAGTTTCAGCTAGGAATTAAAGTAATAAGCATTTACAATTCAAAACTTCCCGAGAGTCAATTTATTGAGTTACTAGGCATGCATTTAAATTTAAAGAGGCTTCTTCTTTACGATGTTTCGTTTAGCGCAACCGAAAGAGATAATGTTGAATTATATTTGCCAAACCTGAGATCATTAAATATTCAGCTTTGTAATATTATTATATCAAGAACAATTCTTCGTATTCCAAATAATACGCTTTATTATCTATCCATAAAAAATCTTGTCTTAGACGTACAGACATTAAGAAAAATTTTAGAAAACCAGCGGAATATTAAAGAGCTTGAATTTGATCCATATTTTGTCGATCCTGCATCGATGAGCGCTCTTGAATTTAACAAATTGAAATTAATGAGCAACAGGAACGTAGCTCCAATAATCAAAAATCAGTATAGTTTAACAAGCTTGGATCTATCTAAGGCTCACATTACTGATACAGACTTTTTACAGATTTGCAAAATGAATAATTTGAGAGTTTTGAAATTGTGGATAGATAGAATTTCATGTGATTTAATTGGAAATATTGAAAAACTTAATAAACTACAAGAGCTTGCAATAAATTACGAGAGGTTGGAGGTAGAATACATCGCAATCATCAGTAAATTATGTCTTAACAGCCTTCAAACTTTGAAAATAGAATTTCCAAAATTGAAGATTTTCGCAGAAAATTTTATTGCAATATCGATGAATTGCCCAAACGTAAATAAATTAATAATAAATGGTCAATCAATTGGAGTGATTGGAACAATAATTGAATATTTCAAACATCTGCAGAGCTTAATTTTTGAATGTGATTCAGATTCTGTCAAGGTCGTAAATTTCCCTGTGAATAATTTTGTTAATGAAAACTTGAAGGAGTTATATCTCTATGACAATCAATTCAATAATCCAGCCAAAGAGCATTTTCAATCAACATCGTCTCTATTATCACTCATAAATATTGCCATACCGAATCTAGAAAGGCTGAGGATAAAAAATATAATTTCACTAGATATTGAAGCACTCAATATTATTTTTGAGAACAAGCCAAATTTATCTCATATCCATGTTGATGATATAGCCATTAATAACACAATTGACGCACATTATGTGGAAACATTGATGCAAGTTGCTCAAAGTCTCGATTACATTGAGTTAAATAAGGTTTTATTGGAAGTAGATGAAGATTTGATTGCGCAAATTATGGATAATAAATTCACATACGTCAACTGTAAAAAGTGGAGGAACGAAATCATATTAAGAAATTGTAGATGGAATACGCATGATGAAAATGTCTTTTAAATTCAATAACATTATATCTTTATTAAATAAGATAAATTTTACTTTTCGTTATGTACAAATATATATTTTCTCTTTCAATCCAATGTGTTAACAATATTGCAAAAAGTCATGGTATACAGTATTAAAAATTGGTAATATGTAATTGAAAAAATGATTAAATAAATTGCGAAAAATTAATTAAGTATTTTTGCATTAAAATTTCTCTCATATTAATGTAGAGGAAATAATACCTTCTATTGTGGATGAATACTCTGCTGTCTGCCAACAATCATTTCAACTAGACCGGTCTTTATACTTTTAAAAACATTAATAGCTTCTTGATGAGTCACACCATGCAGCGGTTGAGTATTCACAGAAAGGATCAGATCTCCTAAAAAAAAATGTTCAATGAAATTGATATTGAGGTTGATGTAAAGCGGAAGTATATTTACATACCCTCTTTCAGTTGCCCACTTGCTGCTGCCTGACCATATGGATATATGGTTTTCACAAAAATACCCATTTTTCCTTTCGGAGAATCTATACCGCCTGTGGAAAGAAAAACATTTCTTTACTTTCTGACCATAAAGAATAAATTTTATGGCTCTTTTTTCAGTATTTCCTCGAGCAATTTTTATTCTCATTAAGTGAGCATGCAAATTTATTTCAAAAGCACTCAAAAATGGGTTTGGATACAATTGAAGTTGAAAAAAAAAATCATTAAATTGAAAAATGAGAAAATGTCAACATTAATGTCTTACCTACTATAGAAAATCCAAGTGCTTTTGACCCAGGATTTTTTATGAACTGTACTTTTATTAATATCAAAGTACTTTTAGGAATAACATTTGATTTTGCCGGTAGGGTTATAGAGTCTGTTTTGTTTGATGTTGAATTACCGTTGGAGTCCTTTACATTAGTATTATCTTTTGAGTTGACGTCCACTTCTTCAGAGATTTTCTGGTAAAATTGAAAAATTTATAAAATAATGTTATTTCATGGCAATGGCAACAGCAAGTGTATAAATATTGCACAGAATAATTAATTAGGAATTCAGGTCTTGTTTTATGAGTTTTAAATTAACGGTGATTTATACATTTAGAAAGGTAGATAATAAACATGCCTATGATGTGGTTCTATCGATTCATTTTGCCAGTGCCAGTAAAACGCAAAAAATTCTTGCAAAAAGGTAAAAGAAGTCATAAGAATGAAAAATTCAAATTGCTGCTGCCAATTGTTAAAAGGATTATTCAAAAATACGCCGACGAAGCCATCGAAACACGACCTTCAAGATTAACAATTTATGTTCCTTTTCAACAATACATTACATTTAGTTCAAAAAGAATTTTGCATAATATAATTTTTATATTTTATTCAATTTTTTCTTGAATTCGCAATTCATTGATTAATGCTCTTTGAGGAAACATCTTGAAGAAAAAAAAAATCAGTAAAATCATGTAAATGTGTAATGGATTTTGCTCTTTTCCTTTAATATAAACATCGACTTAAACATCCTACACAAATTGAATTTTCACATTAAAGCACATGAAGGTTCAACATTTTCCTCATAGAATAATTCCGATTATATCCTCGTGACTTAATTTCAAAACATTCAAATTTTTGTGTGGAAAAGAGCGATAAAATTCTAATTTATGCTGTTAAAATATTTATTAAGTTAATTTAATATCTGATTATTTTGGGATGCTTCACGCGAATGTAACATGACATTTAATCCCGAGCTTTGGGAACTGTTGTTTGTGAATATTACCGCTTCTATAGATCAAGTTTGTTTGCATTTAAAATTGAAATTTTTTGAAGCAGTGATCGAAATTATCTAATTGACAGCCATAGCAACTGTTATCATTGATTCTTCAGGTGGCAATAAAAAAGAATCATACTGCTCATCGTGAATGAGATAAGGTTGTTAGGAAGAAAGTCTCAAAACCATTAAATTATTGATACTAAATGCTTTCAAGAACATAAAAATTTCAGCAATGTATAATCTAAATGCAAATTGAAAACAGTTCCGTTTCGTTTTTGTGTGGTTCGGAAATACGATTTAGGTGTTTGATTACTTTAAAAAAAACTTTCAGAAATTTTTTAATCACTATGCAAATTCTCATATTTATTTCTATTCTAATTTCCATAAAGTAAGAGCGATAGCGATAACGATAACGATGAAAATCAGATTAAGAGTGATGTGAAGAGGTGGTGAATAATGAAAATGCTAACATTACCAAGATGCTTATTATGAGGTGCAAATACAAGGAATTATGCATGAACGGAAATTTTCAATTCATTCACTTTTTCGTGTCTGCACTTCGAAAATGATAACATTTCTAGAACCCCAATGTATTTTTAATATTTATGAAATGCCAGCTTTCATCATTTCTTTATGCACAGATATTCTCGCTTGAATATCATATAAAAAGAATATTCAGGTCGTAGAGAGGATTTTTCTTCATGCTTACTGCAGAAAAATGTGTTTCTGTATATTTTTAAATTTATATATTTAGTCTACGAGAGCACACGTATTTTTTTTGCAGAAGGTAAGGCAGAAGGTCATCAAGTGTATTGGTAAATAAAGTTTTCATCTTTTGTTTTCAATGAAAAATAAAGTTGTTCATAACAACATTAAGCACACCAGATATCTTGAGTTAATGGAATTTCCTCGTAAATAAAGTTATCATCGTGTGCATCAATCAAAACTTGATGTAATTAGCTCAACATTCTCTCATTTGCTAAAATATGAAGATGAATAAGACATAAAAGATTTACTATTAAAACGAGTAATTCCTCCCTGACATAACAAATTTACATTTTTTAATGAAAGTGATTAAAGCAGAACGTAAAAGTTTCTGATGAACATGTTTTATGAAATTTTCACATTACTATTCAAGCCTTTGCTCAAACAACCATATAAAATGCTATGATAATATTTGAGAATGCTGGAATAATAGAAAGGATAATGCAGTGACAGCACAATAAATTTATATTTATGCTAAACAAATAAGGCATTTATCATGTACATTATGAAAGTAATATCATGTTGACAAAATTTTGAATATGCTTTTAACTGATAAAAGCATCGACACCTTTTAACATTAATGTGAATGATAGGCAAGAGACTTTTTGTGCTCGTCATATAACATACCCAGTATTTATTATCGTAAGATTTAAATCTATTCAAAGTAAGTTGAAGCTATTTTTAAGACATGATGTAATACTTTTATTTCTTTTTTTTACGACGAGTAAGCATTTAAAGTAAGATAATAACACAGAGGTTAAAAAGCTTGCTGGATGCGAAAAAAACTTGAGCAGCTGTAAACAATGAAACCAAATTGCTTCTTTGATTCATTTTATGTAACTTAAGAGGATTGCGCGTTCGATAAGAACCATATAATCAAAATATTCACATTGTACATTAAGCGCTCATTATTCTACCTGAACGTTGAAGTTTACCATGTTCCGGATATTAAAATTATAAACAGAGAACACTTGATGATATTACAATAAATCACAACTTACTCTTTTGCTGATTTTTTCATTCTGTTGAACAGCAGAATGCTGCTCCCGTCGTCCAGAGAATGTGGCACTTTTTTCTCCATCATTAGAGTTCATTCTTAATTTACTAAACAGAAAGGATGTAATTTCTAGGGATTCACGTGGATTGAAGCTATTTGATTTTTTATGATGGTTCATTTGATGACCTGAAGACTCTTCAATGTTATGAAAGAGTAATCGACTACCATTGTCAGCACATACTGAACGTGAACGTAAGGAACGTATTTGATGTGAACTATTACAAATATGTGCACGATGTTGATGATGCTGAATTGAATTCTCAGCTATTATTTTTTCAGGTAGTGGAACGTAAAATGTCGGTTGTCTAATATTAGATTCGTTGCTTGGGGAAGACTTATTATTGTTAAAAAATATATCATAAATGGATCTTTTCTTCCGACCCAAGGTATTAAATTTCGTTTTCATTGTATTCTTGACTAATTGAGAATCCTTTTCTATTTCTTCTGCTTGCTTTTGTTGCTGGAGCTGTTGAAGCATTTGTTGCTCCCTAATATACATCAAATGTTGATGATGATGATTGCATCTCATCGATACAGATTTAAATTGTTTCAAGTCAAATGTCTTTTCCGCTTCCTTCTTTGGTTTACGTTCACTACCAAAAAGGCTAAGCCTTCGTGTCTTCGGCTTTGCCTTTACATCTTGTCCATCAAAATACTGTAAACGTGTCTGCTGTTGGTTCAATACGTGCAGAATTTGTGCTGGTTCTGACTTGACATCATAATTTAATGACGATGCTGATGCTGAATACTTGTTTTTGCACTTGCATGTCTTCATTCTTTGATGCTCCATAATTGGTTCGTACACGATTTGATGATTATTTCCATAATAAGCATTATGATGATTATCGATTGAAGCAACTATCTTTGGTTTCTTTTCATTCATAATGGTAATCATGTGTGGGTCATGTGCGAGAATAAAATTTTGCTGATGCTGATGCTGATGATGGTGTTGCTGTGAAAATATTTGCTGTCCATTAGGCATTACTCCAGTCAGTCCATTATCATAATGTAGATAAGGAAGTGAAGATGGGCCCTCTCCCGATGTACAATCAAAACTTTTCATTGCATGAAACGAAGCACACCGTTGACGTAATTTACACCATTTCCTCGATAAACTCGACGTTGGTGTATCTGAAAATGGACATGGAGGTAAAGAAGAGTGCTTAATTAAAATTCTTATTATTTCTACCAATGAGTAACGAGTGCGGTGACCAGCGATTTGGAAAAATCACTCCCGCGATATGCTTTGAATCGTAAATGAGTTAATTTAAAATTTATTCAACAAAAAACGAAGAGAAACAACGACATTCCTTTTCCTCTACAGTTTTAATTTTATTTTCTTTAGTTTGCTGCTTTTAACATTTTCTTTTTCAATTGTTTTTTTATCACAAATTATGTCACAATAGAACACAATTTTGTTACATCTGACTCTAATTGAAATTGTCCTTCCGAGCACAAAAGAAGAAGAAATGAATAGAACTTTCTTATTGTGGAGCATCTTAAATTTCAGAATTACTATTGTACAGCATCGATTGAATAAAAAAATCTTTGTATTCCTTAGGGGTCGTTCACTTAAGACGTCCATCAAAAAACCTGATTTTTAGACCCCCCCTCCCCCCCCCCCTCTGTCACAAAAATTCTATACAAAAAAATTTCCATTGTTTGAACTGTCACAAAATCCTAGATCCCCTCCCCCCTAAATGTCGGACGTCATAAGTGAACGGCCCATTACATATAAAGTCTAATTGAAACGTTTTGTAAAGCCTTAATCAAAAAGCACCCAATAGAGAATTTATGGGAGATTGAAGAAGCAGCAATTTGACTTTACTGCTCGCAATTTATCTAAAATTTTTTAGCACTCCCACTCAATCGTTTTTGGAACTTACTATGTTTCATATCAAAAAATTTGTGATATAATTAAAATTGAATAATAAACTCTCTCTCTTTCTTGCTTGGTTTATATCTCGAAATCATGTACATCAATAAAAGCGTTTACCGCTAGATGCAATAACATCTGTTTTTTAAATAACTTTCCATTATTACTGCACTCCTTAATTCATTACATAATTCTTTTCATAAAAGGCAATTGAATTTAAATTATTTGCAGTTTAGTACGAATGCCGAAGGCTAATTTCCCAAATCGTACCTTTTTTGCAATTCAAATGAGATGGCAATCTATAAACACATATATGTCTGTGCTGTTATTTTTTTTCATCAAATTTGGTATAGAACGGAACTTTATTGTGTTGGATGATACTTGAAGAAGTGACATAGAAGAAGATTATAATATTTTTACGCCCAATAAATTCCAATGCTACTTCACAGGTTTTATTATTGCGAACAATTTTTTTTATTCATACTTGGCTTAATTCATCGCTACGCTTGCTACTAGGTAATTTTTGGAGTCTTGTGCATAAACAGATCATCAATCATCAATTGAATAATTAACTATCTATGATAGATCAATTTTAAATGAGCGTGTACGTAACATCGAAACATACGTAAATTGTCATCGTCATGAGTCATGATACAACAATTTCATGCCTCAAATTGAGCACAATAAAATTTAAAGTATATTTTTTTCTTAGTGATATTGTCGATGGAAATCTGATATGATAATCAATTTATCATAATTTCTTGGAATTACTGACAAAATTCTTCATGTTGTTTAATATTCCAATCAAGTCTCATCCATCAAAGTTTATCAAGAATGGAGATTAGGAATGATAAATATCAATGGTTTTTGATAATTCCAATATTCACACCCATTCGATTAGAGCGACAGTTTGCAAGGTTTGTCGACTTACATTTTGTTATGACTTAGAAGAAGACAAGGAAGGTTTAAGCATATACATCGTTATTTTTTATACTTCATTCTTCTTTTGAAAAAAATTTAAATTTTATAATCGTGGCACACAATTGAAAATTCACATTGTGTTTTGCAGTTCTTCTGAATCTGTTTTTAATTCCGCAATTGGAAGTTGTTGTGAAGTCGGGAATTTGATGTCGTTTCTGGAAATTTTAGAAACGGGATGTCATAAGTACGTGATATCGATACTAGGTTGATCTTAGAAATTAACTAGTAATGACGAACATTCGAAAAGATGACGATTAACGAATGTATTGAAACACTGCATGAAATTATTTGATGTATCGCGACACAATGTTTGAAAACTCCTGGTAAAGTGTGTTCACGCTCTTTAAAATGAAGAAGAAAATTGTAGCAAAGAAGAAGTAAAAAATAGATGTTTTGCAATAAAAGAAGAAGAAACTCTCTAAACAAAAGATGGTAATTATTTGAAGCAAACTAAATTTAAATTGCTCCGTAAAGAAGTTGCCACACAAATTGTTGCTCATCAAGTGTTCATCATTGATAAAGCGACGTGTCTTCTTTTGTATAAAATTATTAACCTTTCTTTTAAAAGTTTATGATAGTTTTCATCACAGTTGCTGCTCTACAGTCGACAACGACATGAAGAAGAAGTCTTTTTAAACTCTTTATTTTCACTTAAAAACTTTTTTTTGAAATTTATGGCATTTGCACACTTCTTGCAGTTACACTTTAAATGGTTGCTCATAGCATTTATTGACATTTTAAGACACAACCTGCAGAGTTTGAAATTTATGTAAACAAAGTGCTCTTTTGTTGAACAATATCATTTGTCTTACACGTGAATGAGCAAAAGTCAAATTTGCACTTAATTTTCTACATGATCTCATACAATGTATGACTTCCATTTTTACATCCAATTGATCCTGACCACACTCATTAATTTTTTCTATTCTTTTTTTTTGTGGAGCAAAAAAAAACACACATAATGAGATAAAACATATGGAGAACAAAACATCATTAATGATACGCTCTACATAAAAATATGCGCTACACTTATTTGCTTTGTAATTTATTTCCTATCATGCTTCTATTGTATTGAAGATGGTAGAATGAACGAAACCTAACAACGACTAGAATGAATTTTTTTTCTCCCCTTTCTTAATTAACTGCATATTAGAGGTAATGACGGGAAGGCTTCATAATTCGATTGATGTAGAATGTGTTGGAATGACTATTCATTGTTCCTTTTTTTGTTTACGTCCTTACCTATTGGTGGTAATTGCTCATTGTGAATTTCAGTATCATAAAACACCATTTTTGGTTTTAATTAAACATTTTTATAAGCCATAAAATCTCCCAATTATTCATTTTTCAAATATATTCACTTAACAAGTATTATAGTATCAACTTCGTGTTATATTCCTATTCTGTGGTATTTAAATAAGCACTCATAAATTCTGTGTCATTCAAATTTTATGAAAATGAAAACTGCAAACATGTAGTTATTGAATTTTAAGTGAAACAATTGTTTAACACATCAACATAAATGCGAAGTACTGCACAATTTCGCGGTTCACTAACTTTTTACTTAGGTAAAAAAAAATAAATAAAAAATATTCCGTCAGCTGCACACGAATTCAACACACAAACTGAATTGAAAAATAAAAGAAACACAAAAAACTAAAAGCGTTGAGTCTTTGAAGCAGCACAAGAAAAAAAAATAATAAAAAATGGTAAAAACATAACAAATAAGAGAAGGCAGAGAGTAAGTTGCATTGAGGGACCTCCGCTCAATGGCACAAACTGTTGACTCATCAACACATTGACTCTCCCAGAATTGTATACATTAATACATTACACGTCTCTATTTCTAAAGACAACAATTCTAGAGAACAGTTTTATGGAGCTTTCTCACTATTTTTTATTTTTTAAAGATTATTTGATAAATTTACATTAAAATACACATAAAAAATTGCTCCTATATGTATTGTGATTGTGTCTTTTTTAAATTCTTTTTAAGATATGCACGTGATCAGTGTACATAATGATGTAATTATTGTTCCACTTCATTCTGTCGCATTCTTTTTATTATTCAATAGACTAATCATTCATCTCCATAATAATGGAAAAATAGTATGCATATACTTAAATGTATGAATATACTTTCTTGTTATTCTTATCTCGCCATAAAATCATTTAATTATGAAAAAAGTTAAAGATCGCTCTCATTCTTAAAATAATGTAATTCATTCATTCGATTCTGTGACGACAATAATAAACAGCTGGACTGAGTAACAAACTGTTGCGCTTGTGAATTTAGAAATGTTTTGGAATTATTCATATGTCTGTGAAGAACAAAAATAGAAGAATTGGATTTTTTGGGGTCCGATTCAACAGTTTTTAATATTTTGTTGAAAAAAGCATTCCAAAACTTAATGCTCCCTTTTCTCAAATTATTTAACATCAAAAGCGAACTGCCGCTTGTAGAATAGAGGAAAAGCAGAGCACTTGAGGCCAAGAAATGTCTCATTGTAAACAATAAATGAATAACAATGAAGAATGAAAGATCTTTTAGGCATTTTGTCCGTCTCTTACTAATTCCAAAGGGAAAAGAAGAATCGTCTTCATTCAAATGTATTTATTCAGAATAATTAATATGCTGTTGAATAAAATACCTTCCGATGAAACGATTTCACAAAGTGTCACATTTCATAAAGTTTTGAAACTCACTTAATACCATTTGCTTCCACCTGAGTGAAAAATATAGCTTTCATTTAATATTTCTTGTGATTAAAACAATTTTTATACTTTTTGAAAATAAGAGGAATGGGATGTCTTAAAATTACTAATTAGTCATAGTGCTCTAGTAAGATTTTATCAGACTTTTGATAAAATAATTAATTTTGAAACTTTGTTTTCAGAATATTTATGGCAATAAAAGATGTTCATGGAAAACATTTCTAAATAATTTTACAGAACTGGGCTTAGAATTTAAGCATCTTCAACAGGCGGCTTTTTTAATTGGCTCTATTAAAATGTGACTCATAATCTGCAGACATTTAATAATCTGTGGAAAGCTTATTAAAGGTAGTGCCTGTGCAAAGGAGTCATTCTTCACAGATAACAACTCTGTATTCCAAAAATTTTATGGGTGAACAATTTGTAAGTGATTTATTATGAATCTTGACTCTCGACACTCAAAAATCAAAAAAAAAAATAATTACGGAAATATTTCAATTAAAATAGAAGTGTGAGGTATCATTTTTGACGTTGTGGTTACCAAATTGCCTCAAAATAAGAATCTGAAATTCTAACAAATTGCTTAGAAATTCTCCAAGGGAAGCTTTCAAATTTGTTTTGTTTTATGGTCTTTTCATACACAAGATGAGAATTTCATAAATTAAATTTTCTTAAATAAATCAGATATCAGGGTTTCTACAAAATTAACATCACATGTACAAAGTTTTGCAAAGCAATTTAGAAATTCGCAGTGCCTCTGTATAATGGTACATTTTACATTTTATTGTTAATATGGGTCGTCCATTGTTCTTTTATAAATGTGATAGCATTAGCCTTGAAACTTTATTATTTGTCTAAAGTTTAAGATCTCATAGTAACAAGTGTCTATTGCAATTGTCAAGTTAAACATTTTCATAAACCATTCGTTGTTTAATTTCATAAAGAATTAAGCGGAACAAACTTTTCAATTGCGGCATACTCAATATGTAGATGCAATTAGAGAAACCGAGTTTGGAAGTAAATAAGTAAATAAATGTGGTTAAGTTGCATTTCTATGCTACATTCAGCGGCGGAAGTTACAACAACTGAACCTGAAATCTCTCCTCATCATAACCCTCACAAAATCATCACGCTTAATACACTTCTCGGTAAATTTTGCATGAGTTCATGTTTGTGGTTCATTTTCATCATATGATAATTTACATTAATTCTATTCCGACGTTTCCCTGCTCAGTGCTCAACGATGTATGACAACTATATGAATTCCAATGTTCTCTTTCGAGAATATTTAAGTGATGAGCAGTGCTCACCTACACAAATGTGTGTACAATCAAGTGTTGCGGGTTGCATAATTAAATTATTAGCCTTTGATTTGGATTGTAGTGTTTGAGAATTTGCTGCTGACTAATTAAGTGTTGATATGAAATATATAGGAATTATTTGCTAAGTTATGTCGATTTGAATAAGAAGGAATCATAGATAAGTTTAATTTAAGAATTCCAGACAATACTGAGTTTATCGAAATGTTTATGTATCATATGTATATTTTTACCTTGATACATTGTAACTAAAATACCAAAAAAGGAATTTCAAGAAAAAAGGTCAATGAGAAAAGGAATTACTCTACACAATAAAAAGTCTTATGTCAAACAGGTGTTTGCTTTCAAAATAGCATAAATCATCTTTTTGCTGATTTATTTCATGTGTCGTCCTCTTGTATGTGTGCCTTCATTCCATTTACTTACTTTCTTTTCTAAGACAAGAAAATTTATATAAAATCTTTATCATACCCGGACAGTTTGATGACAAAGCATGACGTTGAAGTATTCATTCCGTAAATGGAAGAAAACCATCAGATTATTAGGAGATAATTTATTACCCGTAATGTGAATAAAGTAGTTACTAAATAAAATCATAAAATAATCAAACCCTTAAAAATCCATAAATAAATTATTTTCCGCTCAATTTTGTGTGATTAATTGTTTAATGAAAAAATATGAAAACTTAATTTTTTTTTGTTGAAAATACCAGAGGAATGCTAGTTGGTTGTTAAGAATGACACAAAGCTAATTCCTTTGGTAAAATGTTTTTGACAGATTTTGACACTTCTGTTATATAATGAATCATGTTTTGCGCACAGCGAGTTTAGAATTTAGGATTGTTTGTATACAATTATTAAGGTGCTTACGGAAATATCCAAAAAAATCTTCCAAGAAGAGAGTGTGCGGATGCCTAAAGGAAACAACAGATTTTGAAAGCTTTGAATAATATTTTTCGCACGAAAGCTCTCAATTTGTAAATGACGCCATGTTCTGACACATCAAGTATTACTTCAATCTCTGATAAGTTACTCAAACATGAAAATTTCATGCATCTGATAGCAAAAAAAAGTCTCTTTGATGTGGATTATATTTCTTCTCGCTTAACATAGCTCAATTTATCACTACTGTCAACTTCATATAACATTAATCTTTCCAGAAAGATTCCTTAATCTTTAGAGTATTGATTCCCTTTCTTACTCTTCAACATGTACATATTTATTTTATTAAACTGTTTGGAGTAATATCGAGAGATGAACATTTAAAGTCACAGGCATTTTTTTTACTATAGGTAAGTTCATAAATTATATCCGACAAAAAAATTGAAGCATTCATCCCATAAAGTCATATTTTTATGGGGGTGTTTTTTCTGAAATAAGGCTACAGATCTCTAAAGGGATTGCTTCCTATACGGTATATATTTAGTATTTCATTAAGTATCTTAAGTTTTCTTAAATCCTCACACTTCTGGAATTTTTGATCCTTTTAAAAATGTCTAAATATGCTCTTTTTGGATCTCACGAATGTATAAAAATTAATAATCCTTTAAAATATAAACATAACAAATTCAAGGAAATGCTCTTGATTGACGTCATCATTTAAATTCTAATAAATTTAATAATAAAATGACTTTGATAAAATATTTCGAATTCCTTTTGAAAAATTCATTTCAGCTGTTACATTCCAAGAACCATTCAATAAATGAGATTTTTTTTCTTTTCCATTCAGATTCATCAAATTTTCCTTCTGAATGGTCTTAAAATTAAACGAACTTTTTACGAATCATTCAGTTACCATGCCAAACTCATTTTTGGGGATAAAAAGTTTTTCGATTATACCATTTGAATCATAAGTTTGTAGCTAAATGTATGCTTTTTGCTAACAATACGCAATAAGAAACTTTTGGATGTGCTGTTTTTTGGTCATTTACTTCATACAACATCCTTAAACAAAGATACAATAATTTTCCCCTGTGTCTTCATTAATCAAAAAGTAGACAGAAGTGGTTAGTCAAGCTTTTGTCATTAAACGTGCTCTCCGTAAATAGGAAAAGATTAACATAATAATTATTAATGGGTAAATTTTTGTGGAATCATTATATGGGGTTGCAGAAAAAATACTTTAATAGGCTTCTTCTCTTAATTTACGACTCTAATTTTGAGATAAAAAAGAAAAATTGTTCACATTAAGCCGACTTACTGCAACATTTTTTTTTCTTCAATGACAAAATTCAAACGCCATTCTTATATTGGTTCGAAAGGCTCTGAAGCAATCTTTCAATTTTATTTATACATATATCAAATTGACCTATTTTTGGGACGAAAAGATGAGTGGGTGGTGAAGAGGATAGATAGATATAAGAAATTTCAAAGCATTACTCAATGGACATTGAGCCTTTGCACAATTTTGGTAAACTGAATCGCACGATCTAAAATTGGTTGTTGTTAAATACATCATTTTATAAAGTATGCAATAGTAATTCAAAATTCAGTAATGATTTTAAATTAGTCTAAAAATTCAACCTTTCAAAGAAGCTTGCTTCAAAATCCTTTTTTTTATCAAACATTATTGGAATTAGTTTTATGAAGTGAAGACATATTTGTAATCGGTTAGTTCGTACGATATATCAAACGAGGAAAGGAAATAAAAGATTTATTGAAAGTCCTTAAGCGTAGATGGAAATTCCTTCTATTTTTTCCTTCAATCAAATCAGATATGCTAGAAACGTATCCGGATATTGGAAGTTTATTTGAATTTTTTCGATCTGATATAAGTTTAGAATAGTTTTCATGACAAGCGGTCGAATGAAGAACATTTTCAAAGTAGATGCAATAATAAATGAGAGGATAAAGTGTTGAAAATAATTTCATGTGAAAAAGTTTTTTCAAATCAGATTAACATTAAATAAACGGATCTGATATTATATTTTTAAAAAGCACGTTTCGATATTCAGCAGTAATTTTAAGACTCATCAATTTGAAATTTGTAACCGATAAAATGAAATTCCCATAAGCTTCTCTCCATCGCGATAAATTGTAAGCTTTTTATAAAAAATAAAAATATACTTTTTGCATTGATGGACACGAACAAATTCCCCGTGTTCAGCGACAAAGTCAATCAAGCATTTAATGTAAAAAGTTTTTTGATGTTCAAATATTTGAAATTAAACAAATTTTATGTTCAAGGATAGGATGTCAATCTACTATCTTTTATAAGAGACATTTTTGTTCAGGGATGGATCAAGTTTTTTTGGGTTTCGAATTAAATTAAAATTTGTTCCATTCTCTTGATTGTGAGATTATAAAACCCGAAAGTTTCTACCCTTGCTCGGTCAACAGTTCTGATTCATATTACTAGTTCTTATTTCTGATTGACTATAGTCTTTAAGAGTGTTAACTGAAAATTTACTATATTGTGACAATGTTTGGAATTCATAGTTCTTGCTATAGTAAACTTACAATTTTAATGATGGCTTAAATTTGTTGATTTTGAAGACTAATTAAAATTTAATAAACTGACAAACGTAAGATTCGTTTGTTCTGAATTTCCTTTTGTTGCTTTTAGTCAACAAACAATTTCTTAATGAACAAAAAAAACTTTCGTTTGATAACAAAGAAAAAATACTAATAAAAAAAACTTTTTAAAAAACACGCTTTTATCAAAAAGACTAAAAATCAAAAAGTTCAAAATAAAATAAGGTCACACTTTTAGCGAATCAGGATTTTAAAAATTTTCTTGTGACAACTAGAAATGTAACATAAATTTTTTTCAAAATATTGTGATTAAGTCCAAGAACACAATGACTCTAAAAGCGTACGCTTTTAAAAGCTTCTCCAATTATTAGTATTATTAATAAATAGTAATATTAATTAAACTATAGTGAATCATATAAATGACTTTTGAGCATTTCAAGTATAATATTTTAAACAAATCAAAATTTTATATCATTGACATTGGATTTTTTTCCCATATAAAAAAGTTTTATTAAAATTGTACTATAATTAAGCATTTGTGTGGTTCTAAAGTGTTAAAATATTGTATTGTCACCGGGAAAACGTGTGTATACAAAATTTGAGCTCGATTGGAGCAATAGAAGTGGTCGAAAAATCGATTGCAAGATTTGAACGTGACATACAAAGAAACCAACAGAGCAACTCAATAAAAAGCGTGTAATAATAATAAAATAAAATAAAAAGGAGGGAAAACTACAAATTTAAACTTTTAAAGCAACAGCAAATACATGGAATTCATAATGTTTTCTATCAAATTCTTTGTAAATTGTTATTTATAGAAAATTGAAATTCTGTGCAAAAATTTATTCCAAAAATTTGTATTCTACAAAAATGTTGTCAAAGATGCTCCAAAATATTGCGTTCGTTTAGCATCTTCAATAAAAAGCAGCAAAAAGTTAAAAATTTATGAATTTGAATTACAATTTAAAGCATTTTGCCCTTTTTAATTTAAAACTTCTGAGATTATATTCTTGTGTACCTGCGTGTACCTTAAAAAGGTGCATGAATTCTATTGTGAAGATACCTTCTTAAATCAAAAGATATAATTTTAATTTAGTTCACGTTTAGTTTTCCTTTTGATTAGATTCCTTCAAAGACTGAAAACTTTAAAATTAGAAATAAAAGAAAATTATTTATTTCGTTTTAGAAGAATTTTTTTGAGAAGATTTAAAAAGAGAATATTTAATCTGCTTGACTTTAAAAGTCAATAGAATCAGATTCTTCGTTTGTTTTATTTTTATTTTGGTTTCATTAATGAAAATAAATTTGGGGCTGTCTTATTAGTAAAATTTAATAAATATTTATGAATTCCCTTAGATTCTTTAAGCATGCTATTAACATTTTATGCAATAATTAATTAAAGATTTCATTCAATTGATTCAGACTATAAGGATGTGGATGAAAAATCGATATTATGAGATCAGCTAAATAAATTAATTCAAATTATTCACGTATAATCAGAAATAAATCCCAGCATGTAAGAGTTGATAGAAATATTTGTACGTCAAGGATAAGAAGACTAGCAACAGACGTTGCTGCTTGTAGAAAGAAAGAAATAAAAATCGATTAATTTGATTGCCATTCCAAAAAAAAAAAAAAAAAATAACGAAGACATAATCCAGTAAGAATGAGAATCTTTTCTCGTTGCATTAATGTGCGGAATTGTACGCACATATCTTGAAAATATCATAAGCGTCGTTCATAAATGACATCTAATTTTATAAGGAAAGGGGAGAATCCTAAATACAAGTCTAAAGAAAGTTGCGTAATTTATGGACGACCCTCGATGGTTAGCAAACATTTTTGTACATACAAACAAAATATGGAGAAAAAATTGGATATACTTTGCGAATATGGAAGATATTTTCTTTGAATGTCACAAAATAATTTTATTTTTATGGAAAGTAACAAGCGAGTGTGCTATTTATATGATAGATGCAAAACGTACGTTATTTGTGCTTTTCAAATTCAGCTTTTCATGAATAATTTTCATCATTTTTGTGGGAATATTTTTTGTGTCGCTATTATACTCATCTATTATTGTCGTATTTAATAACAATATACGCATCCCACGAATGTTAAGTATACTTTCTGGAATTATTTTTGTGCGTCATCATCCCTTCAACCCATAAATTAGATATATCCACTTAGTTTACTGCTTAAAACCTTTTTTTATTTTCGGTAAATGTCCAGATATTGTTTGTAGAAGTTTGAAGATGAAAAAAATCGAGATCAACTCATTTAATATAACCTAGCAACTTGAAGTACTTAATTGACTTTGTACATGACCGAAATGAAGCATCCTTGTGATCGAGAGTATTCAATTTATTTCCTAAAAAACATTTTAAAAAAAGAAGATTTTTGAACAATATGTGCTTTACACATAGGTTAAACAATTGAATTTTTTCGTACCGAATCGACATCCAATTTAATATTAATACGAGATAAAATTCAACACGTGAAATATTCTGCTGTTGAATGAGATAGACGTTCACATTATTCTTTAAATTTTCGTTCAGTCTCCCTTTTTTAAATTTAAATCGTATGGATCCATGGTGATGCAAATTGACGAATATTGCTTTATGCATAAATCATGGACGTGTCAAAGTAAATTTTAAAATTGAATTTTCAAATCGTATTTCTTCATTTTCTTGTTTTATTGACACCAAAAAAAAAAAGTTAAAGTATTAAGTGAAGAATGTCAAAAGCCATATACACTTTTGTACAGATGTCTTAAATAACGTCAAAGGGAAATTCAATTTATCCTACTTTGTATCGAATTAAAGAAATAAATGGAGCGAATTCAATAAGTAAGTAGACGTATACGAGAATTTCAATAAGCTCTATTTTCATTTAAATTGTATGTAAAACATCTTAAAGCATTTTTCATCACCATTTCCATTTGCATGTATTCCCAGGAAATCAATTTAATTTTGCAATAGTCACAAATTTACATTAAAAGCAAAAAGGCATGAACAGTTTTTGAGGGTTCACGCGTAGGTTATGAAAGAATAAGCATTTACATTGTAATAGTTTTTTTTCATCCTTATCAGTTTTGAAGAAAAATTTCGCCTTGTAAAATGACATTCGTTCCAATTTTTCGTATTTATTGCTATTTCTCTGTTGAAAATTCGTTTTCTTCAATAATGCTTATGCCCTTAAGGGTAAAGATATTGAATGTATTTATGTTTATATATTATATTTCGTATACCATTTATGCAAATATATTCTTATAATATGTAATGTATGATAAACGATCTGAAGGAACCGACAAATAGTTCAGCATTAATAGTAAAATATGTAGATGAATTGAAACATCTGTCGAAACTTTGTATAATTTAATCTTTTTATTGAATTTACAGCATTGATAGATTTTTTTTTTCTCCTTCTATAAACGATAAAAGTACATAAAGGAATTAGACATAAAATCAATAAATATGTAAATCATCGTACTTGTTGAAATTAAATGTGATTTTAATGACAATTTCATGTCACACAATCTAAAGTGTTTATAACTGGATTAAAAATAATATCAATTAAATTTAATTACTGTTCATTCTATGATAACATTAAGTAAAGTTAATCATTTGAAAACTAAGCATGGAATAAAGTAATTAATCAATTTATTCGTGAACTTCTTTTTCCTGATGACATTCTCGGATTTGTGTTGTAAGCCATTGAACACCATTATACAGTCCTTCACCTGTTAATGCGTTAGACGAGCATATTTGCCATGGTTTATTTTCAATCTTTTCAAGATTTAATCCGGCTAAAAGATATGAAATCAGAGAGAAAGAGAGGACAGAAATGCTTTAATGTGGTTTCTAAAAATAATTCATTGAAAATTCTGTAAACATTTTAAGTGCTACTTCCAATCATGAAACTGAAGTATTAATGATTGAATTTTAAGATTTGTTGAAGCAAAATAACCTCAATAAACACAAATGCATAAAAAGGAAAATAAAATCAGATTACTACATAGGTTTTACTTATGACGTCCAGTGAGGAGGGGGGGGGGGGGGGGGGGAGGAGGTGGAACAACAAGAAAAGAACAATAGAAATTCCTGCAAATTCATTGTTCTTTTTTATAAAATGACTGTTAATTTTGGACGTCATAATTGAACGACCCAATCAGGGACCAGAATGAATGAAAAAATTCTGTGATGAAAAACATGAGTGTTTTGTATTTTCCCGAAAAGCAAAATAACGAAAAACAATTTTTGCGAATTTTCAAATTTACGAATGCACAATGATTCAGATTCGGAAAAAATGTTCAAAAATTCCTTGTGCACAATATTTTTCTGACACATTAGAAAATTGAAAGTTTTTGTTGATTTCTTTTGATTTGATTCTTTTAGCATCTTCTACATAATATTTTCGTTCATTGCTCAAAAAATCAGTCCTTAATATAAAGGATAAACATGTTTTTTTATCAAAAGTTTGTAAAAGTTTATCAAAAAATATTGTGCATGATCAAACTTTGTATGAAATTTTATGTAAACTTTGATCGCAAATATCTCGAAAACGGCATCAAACGGCATGTCCTCAGTAATATGGGAGATAGATTAAAGCTTATTTAATTGATTTATATAGGTTTTAGAGAGGTCTTTGGAAGACTTTTTAACTTATGAATAGTTTAAGTTTTGTAAAAATACTCAGATTTCAATTCCATTTTTAAGGCTTAATAAGCAGATTTCTGTTGAGTTGGTTGTTTTAATATGTAGAGCTAAGCTTAAATTAGCTAGCAACTGCTTTCAAGACATCCAAATAACAACTTAAAGTAGAAAAAATCACATTTCTTTTTTCATACTCAAATTGTAAACAAATTTTGGGTGAGATTAAATTAATGATTTCTGGAGTTAGACAGCAAATAGGAACGAGATATTTTTAAAGGATATGCACAAAGGAAAGATCTTTTATCTGGCATTTAAAAGACAAAGTTTAATTAACATGAAATTTTTGAATTTTTGAACATTTTTTTCGATTCTGAATCACATTCGAACAGAGCTGCGAAACAGGCACCTGTGACAGGTGAGAACCCTACAATTCCTTGATAATTTATAAGGTTTTTCTAACAAAACCATACAAATTATCAAGGAATTGAAAGGTTCTCACCTGTCACAGGTGACCTGTTTCGCAACTCTGCATTCGAATGTTCATTTTTACGAAAATTTTTATGGTAAAAACTTATAGGATATAATTTGAATCTCAAAAACCGTTGGATAAAATCAAATATTGAGACAGTTAAAAGTAATTTAATCATTTAAATGCGATTAGATATGATAAAATAATTATTAAAAGATGAAGGATTAATAGAATTGAAAAAAAGATTTGCATTTATTTAAATGTGAAATATTTTTTCTATAAAAATTTTATTTTGCTATAAAATTTTCTCATGGAATTACCCATAAAACAAGAAAAAATATTACACGTTTAAATAAATGCAATTCTTTTTGTAGTTCTATTAATCCTTCATCTTATAATAATTATTATATCATATCTATTCGCATTTAAATGATGAAATTGATGTAAATTGTCTTTTAATGTTTGATTTAATCAACGGTTTTTTGAGATTCAAATTATATCCTATAAGTTATTACCATAAAAATTTTCGTAAAAATGAACATTCGTAAATTTGTAATTCGTAATAACGGTTATTCGTTATTTTGCTTTTCGGAAAAATACAAAACACTCGAAACATCATTATTTTTGATGATAAAAAAATTATAATTTTTTTCATTTACGTAAATTATTACGTAAAATTTCATCACGTAAGAATAATTTTTACGTAGAATTTCATCACGCAAAGCAAAAATGAAGAATAAAATGTTTCTACTCATGTTTTTTAAGCAAAACTAATCTATTCTATCTCTTGTTCTTATTATTTACCATTTTTAATTCTTAAAATGATTCTTACGTGATGAAATTTTACATAATAATTTACGTAAATGAAAAAAATCATAATTTTTTTCATCATCAAAAATAATGATGTTTTTCATCACAGATTTTTTCCATTTATTTTGGTCCCTGGACCCAATAACAGACATTTATAAATGATGTCTAACTTTAATTGAGGGAGTTTGCATGCTTTGTGAAACTTTAGTAATAGATTCAACTCAGATAATTTTTGATCCATTGATTGAATCAGCTGTAAATTGTAACTGAATCTTTCGCATGTCATCGTTAGCTAATTTCTGATATCAAGTGCAATACTTTATCTTTGGACAGCATTCTTCTTTAGTTCTCGCGATTTTTTCTGATCAAAAAATTAGACATACTGACTCCTTAATTAGACTCACTACTACTTATTCAGCTCATTGAGTCATGTTATTAATCGTCTCCCACATTACTTCTCCCACATTTAAAAATGTCTCCTTATTTTTGTGAAAAAAGTATGAGATTTAAAATTAAAATTTTTTATAGACGTCATAAGTATACGACCACACAACATTAGAGAGTAGAATAACAAAAAACTCAATGCACAGGTATGAATTCATTGATATCATTAAATCAATATTGTCATAAAAAAGAACTTTGCTGAATAATGCATCTAAAATTCATTCATTTAATCATGAAACTTTCATTACCCGCAATTTTAACAGATGATAATGCATCAATACAATCCATTTTATTTGCGAACAATAAAATTGGAACACGACGTCTCTTAATATCGGGATGCTGGAGCAACAATTCAAGTTCATCTTTCACGACAACTATAAAAATATAAAAGCATGTATTTATGGTATTATCGGATATGCCATAAAAGTTTAAACAAACTAAAGAGTGGAATCAAATAATGTTTCATTAGAAAATCAATTCATTTGAACGTAATGTTTAAATGTATCGATTTCTCACTACGATAAGTATCAAGAATGTATAAATTTTTGGAGCCTTGATTGTATTCGAGCAATTTAAAATTTATGCATTACCATACATAAATCTAAGTTTAGACAAGATATATGTTAATTACTGAAATGAAATTATGTTTTCAGCACAAAATTTCCATACCTAAGCGCATTCTATCAGATGAATCAATCACGAACACAATGCCATGGCATGATTTAAAGTGATGTTCCCATAAGTTTCGATATCTCCCTTGTCCCGAAAAGTCAAAAGCAGTAAACGAAACTCCTTGGTCTGTCGACAAGATAAGATATAGATTTATTTTAAGAATGACAATGGAAGCTGAAGCTCTATTGAAATGGAAAACTTACTTTCAAAATGCTCCACATTAAATCCAATCGTTGGAACGGAAATAAATTTTCGGTCGTCTTTATTTTTGAAATAATTGACAATCGTCGATTTCCCACTATTATTAAGACCTACAATAAGAATACTGATTTGCTTCGACCTCTTGTCCTTACTAAGAATTTTCATAAACATTTTTCCGAACACCATTTTTCTCACTTTATACATTTATGGTTTTTCACTTTAATATTTCACAAATTTGAACCTTGTGATATTGAAATCTTTAATAATTCTGATTTCATTTTCACACTATACACAATTATTGATTAGAGTTTTCATATTTATAAACATTTTGAATAATTTTTCAATGCACTAAAAACATAAAATATATTTTAACATTGGATAAATGTTTTGTTAATGTCTTTTTATGTCTCCATGGTGACGCTTTCGTTTCATGTGTAGCGCAAAATTTTTTTGTTTTTAAAAAATCCAATTTTATAGAAACGTTACAATATGAATTCAGGTTGATAATTTTGTTGTCTACCTTGCAAACTTTTAAGTGTTGTAGAAGCTGCTTTTTGTAATTAACAGACTAATTAAGTGTGCCGTCTATTGGTTTCACACGAGATACTGGAACTAGAACTAATTTAACTTTCAAGCAAGTGTTGCAACTATCCTTTAATGTGCTCGAAAGAATCTGCATTCGTATCTTAATTATGCAGGAGGAAAATTAATATTACTCATTTGGGAACTCTTAATTATTTTCTTTCTGTATTAAAGACTTTATTATCATTCATTCAGAAAAGAATTTCACATCAAATTATTTGCATCATTAAATCAGGAGAAATGGGTATGAAAATATATAAAATGTCAGAAAATGCAAGCTTTTCAACTTTAAGTAATTGGCTATGTTCACTAGAACATAAAATATTGATGAATCTAGTTCAGAATTGTTTAATAAAATGTAGGAGGTTGATCGATGTAAATCATTACATTTATGATAAACTTGACTATAAATTACGTAAACATCTTCAAATGTTCAAAACAACAGTTTCTATGGAAAAGTATTTTAATCTGCCCTCAGGAATAAAGTGATTTTGCGACTCTATACAAGCGATGAAGTCCACGAATTTTATGCAGATATAGCCAGAAAGCATATCTTATGTCATCTCAAATGTTAGGGATATTGATTTAATTATTGATTTATAAAAAATAGAAAGCACAACGTTCTAAGTATTGCATGAAATAAGTTAAAGTCTTCATCCCTAGGATCCTGTATACATGAATGTTAAACAAAATTGTAATCACTTATTTAAGTTACCAAATAGCCTCAAAGCCACAGTGTTTTATGGTACTTTAGAGGTAAGTTAGCTTTAAATGAGATTTTTGTTTGTATAATATCTGCCATTTTTTATGTTTCGCACTCCACTGTATCACTGCAATGGAAAAATCTTGTCGATTTACTAAGAATCCTTCAGCTAATGGAAAATTTTATTTCTTTTCCAGTTCTGTTACTTTTGATTATCAAGACGTTTAACGCTGTAGCGATTGAATTTACACAATTTGAGAAAAAAAAAATTGAATTCTCTTTAATTCTCACTCAGCTGATGTTGTTTCATGCTTATACAAACTTTAATGTTGTATTATGTGACATATAACAGAATTGATGATAATACGTGAGAAGAAAGTTTGGATACTTATATGGTTTTTGAAACTATAGAAAGTTAAATAATATTTTGATATTTAATCGCATAAATCCCCAAGTGTAATGAGAAATTTTCAAAGACTTTTATACAATTCGTTGATACAAACTGCGAGCCAAACATTTTTAAGTTCATGTGATAAATTACAAACCAAAAGTTTAAATTACAATTTTCCATTGCAAAAACTTAAATAACAGAAGTTCCAAATGATTCAACACGAGTGTTTTCATCACATGTGGAAATTGTTTATTCAAAAGTTTAATTTCTTTAGGATTAAGAATCCTTAATACGTGAATATACATAGAATAAGAAACAAATGAAGTAAACGAGCGTTTTAATTCTTACTTTTTCTCTCCCTTAATTTTGTTTCCATCCAAACCATTTTTCATTTAACTTTTGTTCTTTATTCATATGGAAATTGTGGTTGTAATATAAATGTACGATATTTTAAACAAAACCTGAGAGAGAGTTTTTTTATTAAAATGCTTTGAAAAATCCTTTCAACCCTTTTTCGAAGTTTATTAATAAAGAAAAGTTTAACTCACTTTGTTATGAAGGTTCACGTACTCTATATAACTGAAAGTATTACTTATTGGATTATGTAAAAGCTTTGATATGAAGAACATCCTTAATACATGATCGTTTTAACACCAATTTTCTTAAATTGCTCGTTCAATTTAATTTCACAAGTATTTTTATCCAAAAATTTTTTTTTGACTTACGACAATAATTTTAAATGCTTCCTGAGATCATTGTTGTTTTAATTTCGCATAAAATCTCGTTTATATTATGTTTTTAAGCTATCGATTACATTTTAATTTGTTTGGCAAATGATGAGTATTTTGTTAATTGATATTTCTTTTGTTACTCCCTGATGAGGCTTAAATTTAATAGACACAAGAGTATATCTCATTACATGATACAATAACAATAAACAAATGTTCTTTAGAAATAGAAAACACTAAGCTTTCATAATTCTCAATGAACAAATAACCTTAATAACTTTGAGGTGTTGAATTGAGATGTTACCTTTTTGGAGATTATCTTTAAACTAGTAAAATGACTCATCAAGCTCTACACGAAATAAGTGTAGACAAATGACGAGTAATATTGGTTGTTGAAATGTACAGTAGCGCTCAAAATGATAAGGACAGCAACATTTTTTTCACATTTTTATTAATTTTGACTCACAGGATTATCTAAATTTGCTGAAATTTGGACCAGTTATACAGTTTTAAATGTCCTTTCATACAATATATACTAATTGTACTAATTAAATATTTTTGAAAAAAACGGTAAAAAATCAAAATGGCTGCCGCTCAAAATGATAAGGACAGTAGATTATGTTAAGATTTTATTATATTAAGTAATATTATGGAACTTTTAAGACTTAAAACATTATGTTTGATGAATATTCTTTAAATAAATTTATAATTCACGCTTCTAGATGTAAGACTTCTTACTTAATTTTAGTGTTTAAAAATATGTGAAAATTTTGTCAATTTATGATAAATTGTCGTACAGAAACTTGTTTATTCTTTAGGTTAACTACCAAAAATTATAGATAATTTGATTATTTATCAATTTATGATCAAACAATTAGATAACTGTTAATTAATGTAATTTTTTTTCAAAAATTTTATTTTTCCTTTGCGAAATTTTTGTGAACTGAAGTGGACAATTTGGAAAAAATTGTTAAATATTCGCAAAACAATGCTTAAATTAGTATATTTCTCTTTCATTTTAATTGTTTAATAACATATATCAAGCAATTGAGCGCTTCGAAAGGATTAAGCGACTAACCTTATCATTTTGAGCGCTACTGTAAATGCTCTGACAACACAGAGTCAACAGGAAACTTTCACAACTTTTTCGTTATCAAACAAAGGAGTCATTAAGGGGTTGTTATCGGTTAAAAGCTTGAAAGGCATGAAAACGTGCAGATCAAAGTCATTAAGTCGAATGTGATCAATTATTTGTTATCATGTGTGTTTCAAAACAGCAGTAGCAATCTAAATTGATAACTCTGAAAGATAAGACAAAATCAATGAAATCCTAATGAATAATTTTGGTTTATTATATTCATAAATAGATGATTATGTTCATTAGGTTCAACAGGAAAAAAATACTTTATTATTTTTTCTTTTCATTTAATTTTTTCTCTTCACGTACACAACATAAACAAAGACGTATAAATATTTCTTTTTCTTTTGTTATCTTAATTTGACATAAAACATTAATTTATTTTTGCATCTACAGATGGAATAGTCTTGAGGCTATCTCGGAAAGTATTTCGAACATCTCGTCCTGCGGGTGTTGTGCCATTATTCGAAAATGACGTTTGACATGTTTGCTAAATTAAATAAGAAAGGAAAAATTTGAATATGTTAACTTCTGTCATGCATAGTAAAACAAGCAATATGATCTCTTTTTATCATTTTTTACTCACAGTACAACCATAATTTCTCTTTAAGCTCGGCGTTACATGTATCATATGTGTCGTTGAATGAATGAATGACTGCTCATGGTCGTCATTTGCATATCTTGATCGATATTGTGATTGCCATTGATTGTGTCTTTGATTATGTTTGAGTGTCAAACAGTGTCCACGTTCTAAGACGTTTCTAAATTCCCGCCGAAATTTTCCTTTTCGTAGAAATGAGAAAAAATTGTACATCATGACTTTTATTATTCCCAGAGTATTTTTTTATTACAAAAAATGTATACATAAATGAAATGCACTTACCACTCATAAAATTATATATAAGAGGATTGATAGCAGAATTCGCATAACACAGCCAGTGTGATAATAATGAGAGAACAGACACGATTTCACTTTGATTGAGATCAGTATATGTATAACGTATAACATTGAGAGCATGTACAGGAAAATAGCAGGCTGCAAACATTATGACTACTGCAACAAGCATTTTTGAAGCCTTTCGACGAGCTCTTAATTGATTTAAAGTTGTTGAATTCGACTCTCCTTGTCCCGTTGAGTTTTTTCCTTTACCTTTAAAGAAAATCGATTTGTGAATGAAATCCAATTTAGTTTGTATAATAATAAAATTTTAAAGGATGCACAACGACCCTTTTTGAATTGTCTTTTAACTTAGTAATAGCTTAAATGAACATACATTTAGATGAGATTATTAAATTATGTACTCACTTCGATAAGACGCAACCTTCTGAGTTTTCAAATGATTATGTCCTGGTATAGTATCCGATCTCCATAAAACCCTTACAATCTGACAATAAGCGATTGTCATAAGAAAAAGAGGAAGTCTATGAAGAAGGAAAGATAAAGGAAACAGGAAAAAAAGAGTGATAAGCCATTGAGTTCAAAATTGAAATCCTTCCGAGTTTGAAAAACAAACGAAGGGTAAAAATTTACTCACGTAAATAAAAAGATGACTTTTATAATTGTGAATCTCTTTTCCTCCTCAGCGTTCCATGAAGTGACACATTGAGCAAAAAGTTCTATGTCAAAACGAAGTTGCTTCTTCACCACATGTAATTCAACGAATTCTGGCAAGTCAAATAGAAATCCAATCGCCCATATGATGACAATATATATAATTGCGCGACCTGGTTGTGGTTTATATCGGAGTGGAAATACAATGGCATACCATCGATCAATTGAAATGAATGTCAGTGTTAAAATTGAAACAGTTACGCTCACAGTCTAGAAAAAGACATAAATTGGAAAAAAGAGTAATATTTGCATTAAACCTGTATGACAATTTTTTGACATCAATGAGATTTTTTTTTATATGATGGAAAACTTATATACTGCATATATGTACATGTGAGTGAAACTTGAATGAAAAGCAATTTAATTTAGATATCATATGGAATAAGATATGAGATGCAGTAATTCATCTTGATTTGTTATGATTTACGCTACTGAATTCCATCAGCACAAATCAAATTTGAAATGACAGTAACTGAATAGGTTCAATTTCAATTGTAATTTAAACATCAGCGGAATCGCGAAAAATTTTGCATTCTCAGACGAAATTATTTTGATTCAATCAATCAGTATTCATTGGAGATTTTCTTCTCATTCCTATATATTATCTTCTAGTGATTAAATTTGAAATAATGATGGTAAAATTTATGGTGTAAACATGAGAGTGAATGTAAACTATTTGAGTAACATATATCGTATTTTATGTATACACGAAAAACTCATAAACACCAAGTTTCGTACGTTTGTAAGGCCTAATTGAATTACAATATGTTTGCTAACTGCTTGTTACGGATTCAGTGTGTGTTCTAATGCCTGGTGTTTTATTCCTGTTTAGAAGCAAACGATTTTCTGCCTTGTTAGTATAAATAAATACACCCATAAATACTGATATCAACATAATGGGAAAGTCTAGTTTTTAATGTTAACTCGGCGGCATTTAAGGAAAATATATAGGACGATACTAACCTGAAAATAAATTACAACTTTACACATTGTTTCCGAAAGAAACCATGTCTCAGTTACATCCCAAATTACAGTCGGTGGAAGGCAGAAGAGAATCACGAAAAAGTCTGCAACCGCTAGGTTTACTATAAATATATTCGTCACGGTTCTCATAGAATGATTAGACCAGACTGCTAAACAAACCAGAGCATTTCCTATCTGAAAAAATAAGAAATATAATGAAGAAAAAAATTAATCACAGATATTTGAGGATGCGGGTTGAAAAAAAAAATGAATTAGATGAAAAAATTGTGAAAAGAGCCAGTGTAGTGCCATGTGCTGAATACTAATGCAGAAACTTATATACATAACACTTATCTATGCGAAAAAAAATAACTCTTCATAGTAAAGGAGTTGAAATGTTTCGAGTATATTGAGTTCCGCAAAATCTCACTTAATAGATGTATATGTACAGCTTTTGATCGTATGTTATTTCCATAAGTTTTATGAAAGTTCACAACTTTGATATGTAGATTTAGAAGTGGTTTGTAGTGTAATATAAAACTTATAGCTAGTATATTTAATCAGTGCCCACATTTTCGAGCTAAACAAATTGAATAATAAGAAGTTAATGCATTAATTAAGACTTGTGTCATGACTTTTAATTGAAAAGTATCTAACTTATATAGTTCAATTAATTTAGAACTTTTTAAAGTCAACGAGTTTTGCCAGATGCTGCAAAGATGCAGGACTTTAATTGTATCTCTTTAGGTGAAAAATTGTCATTATCAATTTTGAGAGAACTTAAGTTTCTGGAGCAATATTTGAAATTAAATAAGTTTCACTAAGTTCTGGCATTAAAAAACTGTTTTTTATGAGAATAGTGTTTCATGATATTCCATAACTTATAATAGCCTGCCAATGGTTTTGAAATTATTTTGTGCCAAAATATTAATTTCATATCATTCTGGTTATGAATATTCTGTAAATTTTACATCGACATGAAAATGAAGTGGACTTTTCAGGAATTTATGAAATGTTAAGGAAAGCAAATAAAGGTTTTTACTAATTAATTTAGAATTTGTGGAAATAAAAATTATTTTGTAATAAATTTGCAACTTTTCACTCTCGCCTGTTTTTGAAAACAAAATTAACGACGTCATAAGAGATAGAATACTATTTAAAGGTATATGAAGGAAATTTGAAAATAAATAGAATTATTTAATTAAATTCTTCAGGAACTACTTCGTGAAATGTTTATTACAGTTTAATTTGTAGCGATGGTTGAGAGTAGTTGTTCAAACGGTTTGCTGCGGCACACTGGTAGAATAAAATTGAAAAGTCCTTAAACCCTTTTTAGACCCCCTCGTAACAAAATTTGTATGAAAATTACTACTATTGAAACTAAAAGCGATACGTAATAAGTGAACGACTCCTAAAGTGCAGAGGCAAAAAAAACATCAAAATGAAAAATGGAGATTTTGACATAAAAGTTTATTGGTGTGCCGTCGCTTCAAAAAGGTTAGACAACACTGGTTTGGAGACAGGTGCCACTCATTTAGAAAACTTAATGATTATATATGTATATCAACCAATATGAACGATTAAACTCAAAAAATGTTGAAAGGTTAAAGTTCCAAATGGTATAAATTCAATGACAAAAAATTATTTTAAAACAAACTTAGAGATTTGAAACTTGTTCAAATTTTTTGTACAATTCTGAGTTGCGATTTTTCATCTGCTGACAGGCAACCTGTCTCGCAAATCTGGCACAATTAAATTTGTTGATAGTTGTCAGAAAGCTTATCAATGAATATCAAAAATTATTCTTAAATTTCATTAACTGTGCTCAATTGCTCCTATCCACAGCAATATCAAAACTGTCAAACATAAATTTTACAACATTTAATTTCAGGAAAGTTTTAATTAAAATTGAGAGATTTACTTGAAACAGCCTGAAAAAATAGTTTAAATTTGTACTCAAAATTGAATAAAATGTTTCAATTAAAATTAAAATTTTCATTAATTCATGTTAAGCGTTGCTGAATGAGATAAATTTACTGCTCAATAAAATTATTTTTTGTCCCATTATACAATGTAATTTGCAATGGCGTGGAAGAGATCACAAAAAAATTGTATACAAAAATTTAGGGTGAAATTTTGTAAACTCAATTTACTTCAAGTGCTTGAATACAAACGATGCTCCTGCTCTATATACTGTATACAGACAAATAAAACAATAAACTCAATTATGAAAAATACTCTGCTATATTTAAACTCTGTTTCTCATTTAATAGTTTTGTATGAGTGGCATTTATGAAATTAATTGGACAAAATTTCCAGCACATTTCAGGATAATTAAAAAGCACATAACACTGATTGATATAGAGTTCAATTATTTCCTGTTTGGAAATTTTACAATAATATATTTCGGGTTTCTATAACGACTAATAAATATGTAAATGTTTACATGAAAACTTACCAAGCCCATTAAAAATACAACTAGATGAGAGAAAATTAAAATCCATTCAGGTACCTAAATGTTGATATGAGACATTATCATTTGTCTATGACTTCACAAATTAAAATTATAATTTTTTATATATACCGTTGGTGTAATATAATCATATAAAAGCTCGAGATATTCTTCTTTGGTTAGATTACAATAGAGAGGGTCGCCAACACACTGCTTTGTATGATCTATAACACAATTTGAGCTAGTCTCTGGGCAAAATGTCACAATTGGATTAAGACTATAATCTACTGTTGATGAATGATTCCAAAAGAAATCACTTATTTTTTCTGTTGTTGTCGTCATCATTATTTGTTCGGTCGTTGAAAATACATCCATTTTTTATTTCCCCGTCTTGTTTATATCTGTTGATATTTTATTGTTACTTTTTATATACTAATAACTCACGAAAGCTCCCCAAACATAAAAAATAGAATCAAACGTAACAGCTACGTTGACTCTTATCTTTTAATGGGATAAAGAAGTCTAATTATTTAGGATAGAACTTCTCCCTCTTTTTTCTTAATAATACAACCAATTTTCTCGTTAACATGATATCTATCCTTTTTGGACATTTCTTTTTAAAGCTTATTCTTGTTTTTAAACTCTTAAATCACTTCATCTTTTTTTCTCCCTTTTAAGGGGTTTAATGGAATTTTCTGTTTACAAAAATAATAAATATCACTTCACTTTTTTTTTGTATGTGTGTCAAAAGAAAAAAATGTTGGCAATTTTTTAAACGACTTCTAAAAAGAATACAATTTTATCATTGTCACATTGTCTGACCATGTTTCTAGTAGATTTATTTCTCAAGGATTTGATTTTCTTTTTTGTAGATAAATTATCTAGATTGCATGATACAAACGAGTTTTAATCTATTTTATTAAGTTTAAATCCTTTTGTATGCTTTATTCATTTTTTTACTGTTCATCACTTTCCATTTCACATATCCACATATTCACATAATTTTGTGTACTTAAATCTATTTGCATTTACACTTTCAGTATCGAATTTACAACATGATATAAAATGCTGCTTGGTGATATGTATCATGAATTTTTTTTAATCTTTCGTCCGCTTCCCATTAATTTTCATTTCTGACGTTTAATCTCGTCAAGATAACACAAATTCTTTTGAATTCAAATTATCAAACTTTTTTTTTCTCTCCAATCTTTGAGAATTCTTTGATAGAAGATTAAACTTTTCTTTTTCTTTCCGACAGAGATTTACATTCTTTATTATATGTTTAGAGAAATTTGTATTTAAAAAAAGATTTCAACACTGCAGATGTTTAAATTGCACAAATTTGATCATGATTTATTTTAATCAAATTTTAATATCACGCTCACAAGAATCATTAAAAAAATTACTCGAAGTTCTTTTGTTTTAATAATACAAATTTTTTTCCACATTTCACTTTAGAAATTATTTTTAGACCTCATGATTTTTTTTTGTTACTTTTTCAACTCATGCGATGAAATGTTTTGCTTAATTAAAGCAAAAATCATTAAAGCGATTGAACTGATCAACGGATTGAGTGTTTCGACCGTTTATGAATTTCAATGTGAATAGCACGATGTGTAGCTAGTGACTGAAGAAAATAATGAATGAAAGTTTTCGTTATAACGTGAAAAAAGTCTTCGTGGTACAAACAAGATTTCGTTCTCTCACGCGCACAAAAAAATTTCATTAAATGTGCGCAAAAAGAGAATTTTTATATCTCTCTAGTTTTTATCTATCAGATGTGTTTTAACAACCGAATAAAATTCTCAAAAAAAAATTATTAGTCGCTCTTTGAAGCATTTTAACACTTCTGTTTGTTGACAGTCATTGTGAAATTGATTATTGACACTAGATATTAGATATCACAGCTCATCAAATATTGAATTACTTTCTCGTGATGATTTAGAAGTACCAACACTTTTGGAAGTGTCATTTTAATGTCAGTGATAATATATCAGGGAATTTGTTTACTTCTATGCTTGAATGAAATGACAAAAAGCTTTCAATCTTTAATTCTATTAAGATGGCATTTTCACAGTTCTTTACTGTTAAATTATTCTCAGGAGAGATAAACAATGAGGATCATTGAGAATGAGCCGTAGAAATTTCTTTGTTAATGAGTTTATGTCAGAACAGTATTATATGAAAGAAAAGATTAATAGAATCTATTTACACAATAACTTAAGACTACCATTGCTACTCATTTGCCAAAATGTACATATTTTATCACTACTGTTAATTCTAATCACACCCATGCGGTAACTAAGCTTAACAACCGCGTTTCTGCAAAAAAAAAGTAATTATCAGTCGAGCGCAAATCAGCAAACTAATAAACTTTGATGGTCTACTTTATTGTGAGTATTTTGATTTTTTTTTTCTTCTCAGCACTTAAGGGCTGTACACAAGTGATGACTCTCCGTTTTCTCCCTTCCCGCATTATTTTTCTACATTGAGTGTCAGTTATATTTACAAACTACTCTCCAGATTTAAAGTTTGACATCATTTATGAACGAGAACTTATCTTAAGGATATATCTAGCAATATCCGTACTCATCTCTCTAAATTGAGAAGATATTTATCTAATACTAAAAAGCATGAGTTAGCAACATCCGTTGTAAATTAAAATAAGAATGAACAAAAAATAAAACAATAGGGAGAAAGTGGAAAAGGGAAATTCAATTTTGTGTTTTCATCGCAATCACGAATTTAAAAGTCATTCAATTGAGAAGAGGAATCAATAGGTTACGAAAAAAATGTATTAGAATTCCATTAAAAGATGTATTAAATAAATGAAAATTTCCCTTAAGCAATGAAAATCTTCAAGACGAATTTTAATGTATTTAGAAAATGAGAAGATCCTGAAAAAGGACGGAATATTGATTTCATAAATTTAATGCTGCAAAAGGATTGAATTTCGAAATTCGTAGAATTAAGATAAAAGAGATTTGCAAATATTCTGTTTTCATCATGCAGCATCTTATTAATGATTCATGATTTAAACAGTTAAGTGCCTTGCTGGTCGAATAGTTAAGGCGCTTGGCTCAAATTTTAATGGTAACTTGTCTTCGGTTTGAATCCAACCATTTTCATTCAGTTCTTTTTCGGAAGTTTACATATTTCGATTGCCTAATGTCGGAGATCAAGCCATAATTGGGCATTTGGGCAACGTTGGATTAAGGAACGGGTCAGGAACTTGAAGTGTATTAGGAGAAATAGGAACAAGAGCTACAAGAATCCCCACGAATGGAATATTGTTATAACGGACCTGAAAAGTATCACGTCACGTACACAGAAGATCGATACGTGAGACTTAATTTATTTGAAACCTAGATTTGAAGATTGGAAGTTTGATCCTATATAATGTTAATTTATGTGTATAAACACAAAAGTGTAAAATATTAATTATTACCACACAGTATATATGTCGTCAATAAATGCAATAAAGTGCAATTAAATGACAAAATAAGAAAGTTTCATTAAAATTAGCCTCGATAGTGGGCATGCTAATTACAATTATCATATTGATTTGCAAGTTATGATTTTTTTAAAAAAATAATGCTGCATAAATTGGTCACTGCAAAGTTTTAATCATGAAATCAATAATGATGATATTGAATTATGAATATTTGGAGCATCACGTAATGAATGAATTAATAATGAGCTTATTAATCAATTTTGAAAATAACTATGTAGCTTGGAAATAGCGGAGTGCCTATATTGCATTTATAATGTGTCATTCATCTCACATTAAATATTTTCGAATGTGTGAACTGTGAACTTTTCGATGCTACGCAATTTAAAATCTGTTGAACATTTATTTTTTAAGAATTGAATTTCGTTTATGTGTTTTGATAAGAAAACCCGATCAACGCATTATTTAATTGTACTCACTAAAGACAATTTCACACGTTTACAAGTGATTCAATTTTTTTGGTACCTTAATTTTTTGATTGATAATATGAACACTATTAAGACAGTATAAACAGTGTGCAGATCGGAAAATCATGAAATTGAGCTGTGAAAAACATTTAAAAATAATATCCAGCTGATGTGCTTTGAACAACATTTCCTTGGTACTGATACCAAAATATAAATTGTTGTGGGTTTTTAAATCTATTGATATACACAGCACATGCATAAAAATATATTCTGACAATTCAACAAAAAAGGAACGTAAAATGATGTTAAACCAAAGTTTAGTAATACGAAAATTGGGAATTTGATATTTTGTTTAATGGGACTCTAAGCTTCAATCAGTTAGAGCTATGTCCATTTACACACGAGAAGATTTTGTTGCATGCATAAAGTTAAACCAACATATTAAAAAAAGTAACAATTCTTAATGGGGTAAACACAAATAATTTTTTTTGAAATAGAGTCTAGCAAGTGAAAAACAGAATGAACTTAAATAAATAATTGCGGATTTCACAGTTTGGTTTTATTTTTCAATTTTTTTATAATTATTTTGTGTGAACATTAATGAAAGCCTTTTTGAAGTGCTTTCATCAACCAAATATTATTATTTTAGTTCCATTGTAGAAGAAAAATAGTAAAAAGAGTCGAGAAAAAATGAGAAATTTTTGTGAGCATCTGCTTGCGTGGGTGTGAAATTGTATTTTTTGCTCTTTACATTTTGACCGTGAAATGATGAAATAGAAACAATTTTTTTTGAGTGAATCAATTGAGGTACTTTATGGAATGTCAATATTTATACACATCATTTAAATATTTTATTGAATCAGAAAATTTCCGATCAATTACAAACATTTCAAAAAGATCGTATTTACGCCCAAATCAATTGGATAGCACTCATACATCACATGTGATTGAAAATGATGGAGTTTTCCACTCACAGAAATATAGACAGCGGATAGCATGAACAATGCTATGATTTCAGTTTTCATGAGTGATGTCATAACACATGTCACCTTGAAAAAAAAGTACTTTTTCATCGCTGAAACGCCTTGTTTAAATTAAAGTTGAAAATGTAAATTTATCGATAAAAAATTAGACGTTTGTTTATTTTAGCTCAATGTTTAATTTGTTAAGTAGAATATTAACTTAAACGAAGTTAGATTTTATGTTTACAACTAACGTTTATTTTATTATATGCATGCTTTTGTAAAATTTTGATCAGCTCATTCACATCACTACAAAAGAGAAATTATCATCAGCATAATTTTTTCTGCAGTCAATAGGGAATTTAAACGGAGAATCCTATAAGATTTTTATTTTTTAACGTCATAAATGAGCGACACAAAAAATAAAATTCGAAAATTTTCCTATAATTATTTAAATAGAAGCTACAAGAAAAGTTATTGCAGTGTGAAGTGAATCGTATGCAAGCAGCATTCAGTTGGCTTGTTTCATTGAGTAAATTTGAATGAAAATGAAGAACAATCGCTTTGAGATGCAGCATGATTTTCTTATTCAACTAGATATATATTATTTGATTCTATATAAAAAGTAAAAAAATCGTAAAACATTTTCACTGCTCAATGATTTTTTGAATCTTGAAACTTCTGAATTGTAATGTGAAATGTTTTGTATAAAGTTGTAGCGCTTCAGTAGAACAGAAAATGATGTTATCATACAGTGAAGATTTAAAGTTGATTGACATTGGCATGAAAGGTTACAGGTAGTTAAGATTCATGAACCATCAGATCCTACAAAAACGGGTTAATTTTAAGAAATATTTTTATCCCGTCTTTTAAATTTGAGTCAGTCAAAAATTGGAAAATATTTACGGAATACTTCTTATAAATGAAATGAAAATTGAAAAAAAGTTTGCTTTCGATTTCGCCTAATGCTCATGAGTATCTGTTCTCATAAATATATAAGAAATTAAGCACGAAAGAAATGATTTGAGTATTGAATAATTTAAATAGAATTCTGAAGATTCCTTACATACATTATTCATAAGCTATAATGTTGTTACTTCCTCACAACAAATACATTCTTGGAAATTTATGAAAATCTTCTTATTTTCGATTTACTGATTGGCTTTATTCACATTTTGTCAACATACAGAATGATCTTTTTTCAACATTAATATTCACAGATATTTCCTCATACAGAACAATAAAATGCCATTTATTTACATTTGTTGTATTTTTCTATTCATGCCATGATCTCATACAAATTATTTTCACACAGACGTTCTGCATATTTAGCGAAAATATTTTCTATTCATATCCACCACATGTAAGCTTTTGTATCACATTTTAAGGTGAATTTGAACATGAAAGAGCAACGAAAATTGCTTCATGACAAAAAGTTTATTTGCTTAAATTCCTTTGATATACCAAAATGTGTTATTATATTTGTTTGATGAAATTCTATTGCCAGAAAATATGCGACATGTGATGAGTTAGCGCATTTTTGCCATGATTGAATAAAAAGTTTATTCATCCAGAATCTGAAAAGGATTCAATATAAACAAAAAAATTATGGTATCTTTTCCAAACAAGTACAATGTCTGATGGATAAATGTTCATATTGAATTGTCATGGATATCTTGAAGATTATTTCAAAATTGACATGAATTTATCAATTCTGTTGAGCACATTTATATTCTTGTTCGAAGAAAAATATAGTTGCATACGAAATGATATAGTTTGGAAACAAAGAAACCTTCACGAGGATTCTGTTTCACTGTCAAACATCAACCAGACGAAGTTTGAATTAAGGACAAAATTCTTTTATAAAATGAACACAAAGCATTTTTGAAAGAATTTTTCTCGCTTTTGTGTTGAACTTCTTTGTTTGTCGGTTCCTGTTTAAGAAAATGAAAATCGATTTAAAATATTTTTTGTGCAGTTATTTATGACAGACAAAATGAACTTTCCATCCTTCCTACTATAGAAATGATAAAGTTTTCTTAAGATGAAAAGGAGAGGATGACACATTATAAATTAATTTTAAATATTTACCGGGTCAATAGGTTTGGATAACTTAAGTGTTTATGAAAAGGTTATAAATTTATTTTTTGATTATAATTCTTTTTTATGTTTTACTTCCTCCAAAAGAAATAAATAAAAATTTACACAAATAAAATTCACCTCACAATATAATCATAAGATGCTCATATTTGCTGATGTAGACGTAGCTGATTGTTACTTTATGTTTGAGCGTATACAAACATGAACAATAAGGCATATGAAGAAGTTTAAAAATTTAAATTGGAAGTAAATTTCAGTCTGAAAGGAATTTTTTCTCATTCAGAAAAGATTTTATGGTAAAATACTTATGCTTACCCAAGCATCCTCATTATTCCGATCATTCTCCGCAAATGGTGTTGGTAAGGATGCATAGCTTCTTAAAATGCTCTCGTTTAAGCTACAGAAAATAAAATTCTCTGTCATTTATTGAAATAAGTTACATCAGGCGTGAGTCTAAGAATAAATGTCTTAGATGTTGTGAATAAACAATTCGGAATCATTAAAAGTTATTATAATGCAGGAAGTGATGGTACTCATAGCTTTTTATTAATTTGTAAATATTTAAAAGAATTTGTAAGACATCTTTGAAACTTTAATTTGAAAACTCTCAAAAGCATGTTGTATAAATTGAAGATAAAACCATTAAAGCTGTAATTATTTCAAGCAATAAATAATAAAAGTTCAAAAACAAATGACAGGCGTAAGGGTTTCATTCCCTTGCCTTCTTTATCTTTTTTGCATTTTTTTAGACGCAAGAAAACAAAACTTTGCTCTTATTCAGCGTATGTGGAGAGAAATTTATCTTTTATTATTAACATAAATCAACGTGGATTTTATTGTATGGCTTTCAAGCTATTTTTTCACTCAAAAGAAAAACCCTCATACATATTTCCAGGTTCATATGTGTATTTTAAAAGCATGTCTTACCGCTAGAAAATTTTGTATGATATTAAGGTGAGAAGAGAAGATTCATTCAATGAAAATCTTAGTACACCTTGTGCTTCAATGTAATTCTATTTGAATTTGAGACTTAAGAGTTGGGATTAATAACCCATCTTATCTAATAAGTGTAGAAACAAATGATATTTCATGTTTGCATGTAACACGAGTAGGAAATCCTTCTAATGCTGTTCTCATTAGTATTCTTTGCTCTTACTGACATTCATACTCCTTTTTTGAAGGTCTTGGAATATTAATTGCTGTATCATGCTTATGACTTTGAATAATATTTTTTTGAAAAAATGACTCAGCTATCAAAATTTTGTAAAATAATTTTAAAGATTATTCTTAGTAGCGCATTTTCAACAAGGCGTAGAAACCCCCTGATGCATTGATGAATCAATTTGGGATTTAAAAGGGATTTTACATTTCCATGATTATTGGCACAACATTGTTTACTATTTACTTTATTTGTTACTATTACCTTTAATGTCATGTGTTGTTCATTCGTCTATTGATATTGCTATTTGATGCTGTTGGTGTTAAAATTTCTGATAAACATGGCGCGGCAGAACTTGGAGCTGAAGATGCTTCCTGCTTAATTATTGTCTCAGCTGCTTCAAATTGCTCACATCTGAGATTTCCCTTATCCTGAAAAAATATCATGATGTGTGAAATTAAGACAACTAGTAACCTATAATATCACTGACAAAATGTAAGAACTGTAAGTGCCGAAAAACAAATTGGGCAGGATGGAGGGGCATTTTCTATTGTTATATCCATAAAAAGTCATTTAGCCTAGTCTAAAAGAAGAATGTAAAATGTATTATCTTAAACTAATAGCTAAAATGTTGGATGACTCTCAAACGTCTCTCAAAGCTTCACGTTTAGCTCATGGAATTACTGGCAATGAACATACTCGCTGCTACTTCAGGTCACGCTGATACAGTTCAAAACATTGGTATATTATCGTCAAAGCTAGTCAAGAAAAATTAACGTTTTCAACTATTTCGGACTTGTTGCTGCGATTACCCCTCATTTTTGTAATGGATATTTCTAATCCGATCATAGCAGGCTATTTTAAAAAAAATATCGATTTTATATCTGTATTAGCATACTTTATCATTTATAATACCTAGATATGTTTTAAAATGAAATTAAAAGCATTTTTGGTTTCGATCATAGTAGGCTATTTTCAAATAAAATATCGATTTTATATCTGTATTAGCATACTTTAACATTTATAATACCTAGATATGTTTTAAAATGCAATTTAAAGCATTTTTGGTTTCGATCATAGTAGGCTATTTTCGAATAAAATATCGATTATATATCTATATTAGCATTCTTTATCAATTATAATACCTAGATATGTTTCAAAATGCAATTAAAAGCATTTTTGGTTTCGATCATAGTAGGCTATTTTCAAATAAAATATCGATTTTATATCTATATTAGCATTCTTTATCAATTATAATACCTAGATATGTTTTAAAATGCAATTTAAAGCATTTATGATTTCGATCATAGTAGGCTATTTTCAAAAAAAAATAGCAATTTTATATCTGTATTAGAATTCTTTATCATTTATAATACCTTGATATGTTTTAAAATGCAATTAAAAGAATTTTTGGTTTCGATCATAGTAGGCTATTTTCAAATAAAATACCGATTTTATATCTATATTAGCATTCTTTATCATTTATAATACCTAGATATGTTTTAAAATGCAATTTAAAGCATTTATGATTTCGATCATAGTAGGCTATTTTCAAAAAAAAATAGCAATTTTATATCTATATTAGAATTCTTTATCATTTATAATACCTAGATATGTTTTAAAATGCAATTTAAAGCATTTATGATTTCGATCATAGTAGGCTATTTTCAAATAAAATATCGATTTTATATCTATATTAGAATTCTTTATCATTTATAATACCTAGATATGTTTTTAAATGCAATTTAAAGCATTTATGATTTCGATCATAGTAGGCTATTTTCAAAAAAAAATAGCAATTTTATATCTATATTAGAATTCTTTATCATTTATAATACCTAGATATGTTTTAAAATGCAATTTAAAGCATTTATGATTTCGATCATAGTAGGCTATTTTCAAAAAAAAATAGCAATTTCATATCTGTATTAGCATTCTTTATCATTTATAATACCTAGATATGTTTTAAAATGCAATTTAAAGCATTTATGATTTCGATCATAGTAGGCTATTTTCAAAAAAAAATAGCAATTTTATATCTGTATTAGCATTCTTTATCATTTATAATACCTTGATATGTTTTAAAATGCAATTTAAAGCATTTTTGGTTTCGATCATAGTAGGCTATTTTCAAATAAAATATCGATTTTATATCTATATTAGAATTCTTTATCATTTATAATACCTAGATATGTTTTAAAATGCAATTTAAAGCATTTATGATTTCGATCATAGTAGGCTATTTTCAAAAAAAATAGCAATTTTATATCTGTATTAGCATTCTTTATCATTTATAATACCTTGATATGTTTTAAAATGCAATTTAAAGCATTTTTGGTTTCGATCATAGTAGGCTATTTTCAAATAAAATATCGATTTTATATCTATATTAGCATTCTTTATAATTTATAATACCTAGATATGTTTTAAAATGCAATTTAAAGCATTTATGATTTCGATCATAGTAGGCTATTTTCAAAAAAAAAATATTGATGTTATATCTATATTAGCATTCTTTATCATTTATAATACCTAGATATGTTTTAAAATGCAATTTAAAGCATTTATGATTTCGATCATAGTAGGCTATTTTCAAAAAAAAATAGCAATTTTATATCTGTATTAGCATTCTTTATCATTTATAATACCTAGATATGTTTTAAAATGCAATTTAAAGCATTTATGATTTCGATCATAGTAGGCTATTTTCAAAAAAAAAATAGCAATTTTATATCTATATTAGAATTCTTTATCATTTATAATACCTAGATATGTTTTAAAATGCAATTTAAAGCATTTTTGGTTTCGATCATAGTAGGCTATTTTCAAATAAAATATCGATTTTATATCTATATTAGAATTCTTTATCATTTATAATACCTAGATATGTTTTAAAATGCAATTTAAAGCATTTTTGGTTTCGATCATAGCAGGCTATTTTCAAAAAAAAAATATCGATGTTATATCTATATTAGCATTCTTTATCATTTATAATACCTAGATATGTTTTTAAATGCAATTTAAAGCATTTTTGGTTTCGATCATAGCAGGCTATTTTCAAAAATAAAATATCGATTTTATATCTATATTAGAATTCTTTATCATTTATAATACCTAGATATGTTTTAAAATGCAATTTAAAGCATTTATGATTTCGATCATAGAAGGCTATTTTCAAAAAAAAATAGCAATTTTATATCTGTATTAGCATTCTTTATCATTTATAATACCTTGATATGTTTTAAAATGCAATTTAAAGCATTTTTGGTTTCGATCATAGTAGGCTATTTTCAAATAAAATATCGATTTTATATCTATATTAGAATTCTTTATCATTTATAATACCTAGATATGTTTTAAAATGCAATTTAAAGCATTTTTGGTTTCGATCATAGCAGGCTATTTTCAAAAAAAAAAATATCGATGTTATATCTATATTAGCATTCTTTATCATTTATAATACCTAGATATGTTTTTAAATGCAATTTAAAGCATTTTTGGTTTCGATCATAGTAGGCTATTTTCAAATAAAATATCGATTTTATATCTATATTAGCATTCTTTATCATTTATAATACCTAGATATGTTTTAAAATGCAATTTAAAGCATTTTTGGTTTCGATCATAGCAGGGTATTTTCAAAAAAAAAAAATATCGATGTTATATCTATATTAGCATTCTTTATCATTTATAATACCTTGATATGTTTTAAAATGCAATTTAAAGAATTTTTGGTTTCGATCATAGTAGGCTATTTTCAAATAAAATATCGATTTTATATCTATATTAGCATTCTTTATCATTTATAATACCTAGATATGTTTTAAAATGCAATTTAAAGCATTTTTGGTTTCGATCATAGCAGGCTATTTTCAAAAAAAAAATATCGATGTTATATCTATATTAGCATTCTTTATCATTTATAATACCTAGATATGTTTTTAAATGCAATTTAAAGCATTTTTGGTTTCGATCATAGTAGGCTATTTTCAAATAAAATATCGATTTTATATCTATATTAGCATTCTTTATCATTTATAATACCCAGATATGTTTAAAAATGCAATTTAAAGCATTTTTGGTTTCGATCATAGTAGGCTATTTTCAAATAAAATATCGATTTTATATCTATATTAGCATTCTTTATCATTTATAATACCTAGATATGTTTAAAAATGCAATTTAAAGCATTTTTGGTTTCGATCATAGTAGGCTATTTTCAAAAAAAATATCGATTTTATATCTATATTAGCATTCTTTATCATTTATAATACCTAGATTTGTTATAAAATGCAATTTAAAGAATTTTTGGTTTCGATCATAGTAGGCTATTTTCAAATAAAATATCGATTTTATATCTATATTAGCATTCTTTATCATTTATAATACCTAGATATGTTTTAAAATGCAATTTAAAGCATTTTTGGTTTCGATCATAGTAGGCTATTTTCAAATAAAATATCGATGTTATATCTATATTAGCATTCTTTATCATTTATAATACCTAGATATGTTTCAAAATGCAATTAAAAGCATTTTTGGTTTCGATCATAGTAGGCTATTTTCAAATAAAATATCGATTTTATATCTATATTAGCATTCTTTATCATTTATAATACCTAGATATGTTTTAAAATGCAATTTAAAGCATTTTTGGTTTCGATCATAGTAGGCTATTTTCAAATAAAATATCGATTTTATATCTATATTAGCATTCTTTATCATTTATAATACCTAGATATGTTTCAAAATGCAATTAAAAGCATTTTTGGTTTCGATCATAGTAGGCTATTTTCAAATAAAATATCGATTTTATATCTATATTAGCATTCTTTATCATTTATAATACCTAGATATGTTTCAAAATGCAATTAAAAGCATTTTTGGTTTCGATCATAGTAGGCTATTTTTAAATAAAATATCGATTTTATATCTATATTAGCATTCTTTATCATTTATAATACCTAGATATGTTTCAAAATGCAATTAAAAGCATTTTTGGTTTCGATCATAGTAGGCTATTTTCAAATAAAATATCGATTTTATATCTATATTAGCATTCTTTATCATTTATAATACCTAGATATGTTTCAAAATGCAATTAAAAGCATTTTTGGTTTCGATCATAGTAGGCTATTTTCAAATAAAATATCGATTTTATATCTATATTAGCATTCTTTATCATTTATAATACCTAGATATGTTTCAAAATGCAATTAAAAGCATTTTTGGTTTCGATCATAGTAGGCTATTTTTAAATAAAATATCGATTTTATATCTATATTAGCATTCTTTATCATTTATAATACCTAGATATGTTTTTAAATGCAATTTAAAGCATTTTTGGTTTCGATCATAGTAGGCTATTTTCAAATAAAATATCGATTTTATATCTATATTAGCATTCTTTATCATTTATAATACCTAGATA